GATTCAACAGCAAACTCAATCAAACAGAAGAAAAAATCAGAGAACATGAAGACAGGCCATTTGAAGTTTCCATTCAGAGAACAAAAAGAAAAAAAAGAATGAAGAAAGTCTACATGCAGTATAGGACACCCTGAAACAAAACAATTCATACATTATGGGAGTCTCAGAAGAAAAGAGAAAGAGTAAGAGGCAGAAAGCATATTTAGAGAAATAATGGCTAAAACTTCTCAAATCAGGGGAGAGAGATTGTCCTCAGGTGCTTGAAGCTGATATGTCCCCAAACAGATTCAACCCGAAGAGATCTTCACCAAGAGACATTGTAATAAAACTGTCAAAAACCAAAGCCAGAATTTTGAGGGCAGCAAGACCAAAAAAAGCCCATCACATCCAAAGGAACCCCCATAAGGCTATCAGTGGATTTCTCAGCAAAAACCATGCAGGCCAAGGGAGAGTGGGTTGATATATTCAAAGTGGTGAAAGAAAAAAACTGCCAACTAAAAATACTTTACCTGAAAAAGCTTCAGACAATGAAGGAGAAAGACTTTCCCAGACAAACAAAAAACTGAGGGAGTTAATCACCACTAGACCTGCCTTATAAGACATACTAAAGGGAATTCTTCAAGTTAAAAAGTGAAAGAATACTAAACAACAACACAAAAGCATATGAAAGTATAAATCTCATTGGCGAAGATAAATATGTAGACAAATACAGAATGTAATGCTCTAATTGTACTGTGTAAGTCATTTTTAACCCTACTATAAAAGGTAAAAAACAAATATTAAGAATATCTATAACTTTGTTAATAGATACCCAATATAAAAAGAAGTAAGTTCTGACATCAGTAACATAGTATGTAGGTTGGGGAGTAAAAGTGTAGAGTGTGTATGTAATTGCTAATAAGTGCTTAATATCCAGTGTGTCAGGAACTCCTACAACTTAATAGCAAGAAAACAATTTAAATGTGGGCAAAGGAACTGAATAGACATTTCTCCAGAGTAGAAGTACAAATGGCCAACTGGTATATGTAGAGGTGCTCAGCATCACTAATCATTAGGGAAATGCAAATAAGACCACAATGAGATATCACCTCACACCTATTAGGATGGCTGTTATTGAAAAATCAAAAGATGATAAGTCTTGACAAGGATGTGGAGAGAAAAGAACCCTTGTACACTGTCGGTGGGAATGTGACTTGTTGCAACCACTACGGAAAACACTATGGAAGTTACTCAAAAAATTAGAACTGCCATATAATCCAGTAATCCCACTTCTGAGTATAAATCCAAAGGAATTGAAATCAGGATCTTAAAGAGATGTCTACAGCTCCCATGTTCATTGCAGCATTGTTCACAATAGCCTAGAACTGAAAGCAACCTAAGTGCCCATCTACAGATGAATGGATAACAAAAATTTGTCATGTACATACAGTGGAATATTGTTCAGCCTTAATAAAAGAAGAAAATCCTACCATTTTTGACAGCTTGGATGAACCTGGAAGACTAAGTTCTAAGTGAAATAAGCCAGACACAAAAGGACAAATACTGCATGATACTATTTATATGAGGAGTATAAAATAGACTTATAGAAGCAGAGTATAATGATGCTTGCAGGTATGAGAGAGGGAGGAACGGGGAGGTATTAGTCAGAGTACAGAGTTTCAGTTATACGGGATGAATAAGTCCTGGAGATCTACTGTACAGCATAGTACTTATAGTTAACAATTTGTATACTTAAAAATTTGCTAAGGGGGTAGATATTAAGTGTTGTGTTTTTATCACCAAAAAGAGAGAGAAAACAACTTGTAATAGTTTACCTAACAAAGGTTTTATTTTATTCGTGTCACAATAAGTCAAGGAGCAGCTTCACAATGCCCTTAGATATCCAGCTCCATGGTGCCAAAAGACTTTCATCTTTTGCGTCAGTCACCCTGAGCTTCTGGTTTTAATGTCTGTTATTTGAAGTTGCAAGATTGCTATTCCACTTGTAGGCAGCAAGAAGAGGAAAGACAGAGGGCAAAAAATGGAGAGAGCTAGATAGCTCTTCTGTTTCGTTTTAAAGTGCTTTCCTAGAGATTCCATTGAGCAGTTTCTACTTAGATTTCTTTGGCCAAAAGTAAGTTACCCCCAGCTACAAAGGAAGCTGGAAAATACAGTGTTTTAGTTGAGTACGTTGCCTCTCTGAACAAAATATGGGCTCTGGTAGCAGGACAAAGAATAGAGACTAGATTGGCTTCTAGTAGTATTAGCCACGGTCCATCTCTATAGCTACCTAACGTCCATATACACTTTTCTTTCCTCACCCACCCTCTCCTCAAGGAAGACAATCAAGTTTCCATTCACTTCTGTATCCAGCACCACATCCACAATATTTGGATGTTATACAATCCTCTTCAGGTCCAGATAAGTCTCCTAGTGTTTCACTGACCTATATACAAAAAGATAATTTATCTGCCCCCAACATCACAATTAAACTTTTGTTTGGAAAAAGGGAGGACATGCATACAGCGGTCGTTCATTCACATCCGTGATGCACTAGTCCGTCAAATATTTGTGGAAGAGCAGTAGCTTAGACCCCTTGTCCCTGTAGGTCCTCCATCAAACTGTCTGTCCCTGGTTCTGTATTCTGAAGAATCTCCCTTGCCCATTTTCTTCCAAAACCTAGGTTCCTTTCCTCAGGACATTATCAGCTGTAACTACATCTGAGATAGGCAGTGAAAGATGCCTTTCCTTCAGGGCTCTATATAATCTGTGTTGCCTACTTACTGTTGGTGTGAGTTCTCTAGCCCAGTGGTGGTCTTAGAGATGGAACAATCACAGACTGTTGCTTATTCTGAAACTTTCAGTTAAGCTTCTTCAGCTATTTAGTAGGCTTCTAGACTGTTTGCTTCTTGTGGATTTTAAAGATCTTATCTAAGCATAGTCTTTAAATCTGAAGATTCCCTTTTACCTACTGACCTCTGTGCCCTTCCTGTCTCAAACTTGGGTACCTTAAAAAGTTCTAAAGAATAGCACTCAGTGGTGCATATACCTTTGTCTGGCAGGAAAGTCTTACAGGACTTGGAGAAAGGCAGTTCTTTTTTATTTTTTTAATCTCTTGAAAAGGCTGTAGTTTCCTGTAGCAGTCCGTTTCACTGTGAAATATGTAAGTTGGCTTTTTTTTTCAGTGAGGAAGATTGGCCCGGAGCTAACATCTGTTGCTAGTCTTCCTCTTTTTGCTTGAAGAAGACTGTCCCTGAGCTTACATTTGTGCCAGTCTTTCTCTGTTTTGCACGTGGGATGCTGCCACAGCATGGCTTGATGAATGGTGTGCAAGTCCACACCCAGGATCCAAAGCCATGGAGCGTGCAAACCCAACCACTGTGCCATCCGACTGGCCCCTAAATTGGCTTTTTTCAGTTCCAGGAGTCACCAAATTTTGGGACTCTCAGTCAGCACAGGTCATTCCCCTTTTATCTCTGCTTGTAGACCAGCAGTTTGGCATTGGTACTTATGGAAGCAGGATTGTGAGAAACTGCGTTTGAGAAACAAGACAAGAGTAAAGTTTAAAAAGTATATATTGAAATGACATTTCCGTGTATGAGCCATACATTAAGTCTTTATTGTTACTCTTGTTTTTATTTAGATGTAACCTAAATTCATCAGGGTTTTTTTGCCTAGTTTTAAATGAATGAACTTATGTAAGAGAATGATATGTAGTTGAGCAAATTATCTGAGGCCGTAACTAACTGGTAGAATCCAAGTAAACATTGACATAAATTTAAAGTAAATGCCATAACATTGTTCTGAAGATAGCTCACTGGCTGACACCTTTTTGTAATATCTTAACATTTTATATGAAGTATGCTTTGCTGAACATACCAGAATAAGAAATAGCAGCAGATTAATGTGGAATCTGCTCTTTGCTCTCTAATTGAAATAAGGCTTGGGTCTGGATTTATTAATGTAATTCTGTGATTTTTATTTCATAATTCCTCTTTGAAGAAATTTTATTGTTTCTAATGCCATAGTGGAATCAGTTCATTGGTGTTCAAATTTTAAAACATAATAGAGAGTAGGGTTCTAGTTTTAAGCAGTTAAGATGTTCTGACATGGTTTTGTTGGTTCTGCATTGCATTTAAGATCACAAACAGCTTCACAGGGAAATACTATTTTTGGGTAACACATCATGTTAAGTTTAGTGGTGGGCAGGCAAAACAAAATAATAAAAAAAAGTTTCTTTTTATTACTTTGCAGAATTCTCCCAATTTAAGACATTTATCTTCATTTCATGCAGTTCCCTTATTTCATCTCCTTCAGTTACTACCTTTCTTTCCCAATAATAAACATATTCTCACATCTACTGAGATGATGTCAAAACTTTTCCTTTGACATGAACAATCACTTTGTGTCCAACTTTAATGTTCAAGACTTCTGCTTTAAAAATAAAGACAGAAGGCAAGTAAATTTTGTATCTGCAAGCTGCTTTGTGGCTCTTTATGTTAAGACCCAAGAGCTGTTACTAATCTAACAACAGGTCTATTTGGCATTGGATCATTGTATAACATAATGTGTGCCCTGTTACCTCCTGTGGAGAGTTGAGTACTGGGTTATTTTTGCTCCTTCCCCACCCCACCCAAGAAGATTTTCTAGTTAGAAGCTGAGATAATCTATATGTTGGGTCACATGATGTATGATCTTGCTTGTTTAGTCAACTTGTAAATTTATACCTGAGGCTGAAACCTAGAATCTCTTAGAACCTCCAGTGAACAAGAATTTCTGGCAAATGATTTTGTTTTCCACTTCTCTATATCGATGGTATTCTAAGCTGTGATATGCCCCTTTTTTTTTTTTTGAGTGGATTTCTTTCACTCTGTTTATGGAACTTTGAAAAACATTAGGAGCAAAAAAGTTTGAGTTCATTCATTCTTTTTTTTCTCCTATATAATTCTGATTTTGTTCTTTCAGCTGGTATATTTCTCTTATATTCAAACCGAGTGTAATGAAAACATGTTTTCTTTCAGGATATCCTTCTTATTAATGTAGTAATTGAACAAATGATCTGTGATACTGATCCTGAGCTAGGAGGTGCCGTTCAGTTAATGGGACTTCTTCGTACTCTAATTGATCCAGAGAATATGCTAGCTACAACTAATGTAAGAAATTACTCTGAGCTAAAATGTTTGGTCTACTCAGTTTTAGATGATTTTATATATAATAAATTATGTGTAAATATATAAATTATATGTAAATTGAAAATTTGTACAATTTTGTGATGTAATAAATACTTAAGTATTTGTACCCTCAGTATCAAGTTGCAATAGTGTTCCTATAGCAGTTCATTTGTGGCACAATACAAGATTGTGATCTGTTAAAATCTTACAATGTTAGCACTTCTATTTATGGCCCTTGGCCTCTGTATGTTAACTTCTTAAAAATTGATACACATTAATATGAATACGCTTAACAGTACTGAACTGTAAACTTAAAAATGGTTGACAGTAATTTTGATGTTGTATTTTTTTATCACAATAAAAAAGATTAATGTGTACTGAATGATCTCAGATGCACAGTAAAAGAAGTCATAAAAAAAGAACTTAAGGAGGTATTCCAAAATACTGATAATGGTTGCCTCAAAATGGTGGGATATTTTTCCTTGATAAGATTCCCTCCAATTTAGAGAATATGTATCTTATTTTTAAATCATTACAAGTTTGTTGGACTAGTTGTGTAAAAAATAGTGGCCAAAAAATCAATAGGCTTTGTTTTCCAAATTTCCAAGTAACAGATTTTTAAAAATAGATCTAAATTCTGTCTTTTTTCTAATGGCTTCATAAGTTGATTTGGTTGTTTTTCAAATTTGGATAGACTGCAAAATTTAGCGTTTCAAATTTTAAGCGGTTAAACGTTGCTCTCACATTGCTTGATAGATTCTTCATTGTATTTCAGATCATAAGCATATTTGAAAATAAATTGTTCTGAATAATTTTCCTCAGAAGACCTTTTTATAGTACTATCTAGTCTTTTTCCTCCTTTCACATTTTTTCATATGTAATATGAAATAGATTTGATTTTTCAATTCTGAAGAAATGAGATTCAAGTGAATATAACTAGTTTTCTAGTTCTTTCACAGTATCTTAAAATATCTGTTGTTTGTGTATGACCTGCATTGCTAATTCTTGAAGATGTTTTATTAATCATAAAGGTAATAAAGTCTTTTTTTAATTATGTATGTTTCAGAAAACTGAAAAAAGTGAATTTCTGAATTTTTTCTACAACCATTGTATGCATGTCCTCACAGCACCGCTTTTGACCAATACTTCAGAAGACAGATGTGAAAAGGGTAGGATCTCTTATTTATCTCCTCTGATTTCTGTTTTTAAAGAGTGAAATAAGTATTATAACTAACAGGCTGTTTACTTGGTGTTTTATATCACAGGGAAATTATTACTAAAAAATTTAAACCACAATATAAAATCATGATTTTATTTCTGAGTGTCTTTGTCAGAGAATAGTATAGAAAATGTGGAAAAGAAGATTACACCTTGAGGAAGAGAGACGTAAACACTTAGCAAAAGAAGGAGATTGTTCCCAAAGTTGTTAGAGTTAATATCTAGAGTGAATAAGAGCAAACAATATATTGCCTACATTAGAAAATCCAAGAGAACCATCATTTTGGAGAACAATTTGGAAATATAGTAAAAGCTCTCTAATTTCACAATATAAGAATCAGAAGCTGATGGGTTCATCAAAAATGTTGGTTAAAGCAGGGAACAGAGTAATAAACTCTTTATAAACATTTGCTCTAAAATGCTAACTCATTTGCTGATATTTTGTAGAGGGTCAAGGCTTTTTTTTTGTGGTATGTGTTTTTTATTGTATTTCCATATTATCTTTCTTGTGTAAACTACGCCCCTAATTCATCAGCTCTAATTTCTCGTTTCAGTTTATTAAAGTAGGATGAAAACCTAAAGATATTTTTGAAGCCATCTGAGTGCAGAATCCTACTATGATTTTAAGTATTCATGGTTGTATATGTGTGATTTGGCAACAGTTTTGTTTTTATTGAGTTCTACTGTATTCACCTTAACCATAGATATTACAGTTATATGACATTTCATCAATCTGTAATATTTAAATTACATAATCATACTACCACAAATAACTAGCATAAACAAGGGACTGACTCTTTGACAAGCATACAGCTCAACTGCTGAAATGACTACATGTATGGGAACATATTCTCTGAGATTGTGGTTAATTTTATGAGTCACTTAAGAGAATGTTTACGAAACAAAGTTGTAGAATGGGCACACCCTACGTAATACCATCACTTCCATTTCTGAGTATGTATCCTAGGGAACATTTATACGTATGCATGACAGGTATAAGAATGTTGTTTTATTTTTCGTGGTAGGAAAATGATGAAAGTATCATATATTTGTATAATGGTATACTGTTAGCAGTTAAAATAATTGAATTTTGATCTGTCAACTCACTGGTTCTCAAAAATAAAGTTGAGGGTAAAACACATTGCAGAACATTTTATTGCAGAATGGTTCCATTTATATAAATTAAATACATTTTTAACATTCATTTTAAAATAAAACACTTTGAGCGTACAGAAGTATAGTAGATAATAGTGTAACAGACACCAGTATACTTCCTATTGGCTTTATCAAAACTAACCTGCCGTTTTTTTTCAGGTGTTTTTAAAAGAAAATAAATTACAGATACTGTTGGAGTTTCTTATGTACCCCTTCACATTCTCATTCTACCCCACCCACCCCCATCTTTCAAGAAATGCCACATTTGGAGTTTATTACTTCTATGTTTGTTTATATTATTATGACATGTATAATATAGTATTATTTTTCATGTTTTCAAACTATATGAATTGACTTGTACATATTATGAAATTTTTTTTCTTTTTGGCCAGTGCTTTTTTTTTGAGATCTTTATTTTTCATATTTATTCATTTTTATTCATATTCATTTTATTTCATATTTATTATTCATTTCATATTCAAAATATCATATTTATTTTTAACTCTGGCATAGTATTCTCCTGTCTGAGTGTGCTCTAATTTAGCCATTCTGCTTCCAGTGTACATTTGTTTCTAGCTTTTTGCCGTTACGAACAATGCTCTGGTATACATTCTTGTGTTTCCCTACACAAATGTGCTCTAAGATGTGTGCCTAGAAATCAGAACTTACTTATAATGTTCTCCTTATTCTATTTTATTATTTTTGCATGTATGTGTGAGGAAGATTGGCCCTGAGCTAACATCTGTTGCCCATCCTACTCTTTTTCTTGAGGAAGATTGACACTAAGCTAACACCTGTGCCAATCTTCCTCTATTTTTATGTGGGAAGCTGCCATAGCACAGCTTGATGAGCGGTGCTGGGTCTGCGCCTGGGATCCAAACCTGCAAACCCTGAGCCACTGAAGCAGACTGTATAAACTTAATCACAATGCCACAGGGCTGGCCCCTACTTATTTTATTTTTTAAAAAATTCAAAGCATAAATGACTAATTGTTGATGTATATGTTACTGTGGGGTTTAAGAAACTCCTATATGCAGAGACATATCTTAATTGTTGGTGGATGACTAAGATGAGCTAAAATAAGATATGACAGTCAGTCTGTAGTTGTAATCTCATTTTTTATCAGAATATTTATGATTTGTCTTTTAAAGATTTTATTTTTCCTTTTTCTCCCCAAAGTCCCCTGGTACATAGTTGTGTATTTTTAGTTGTGGGTCCTTCTAGTTGTGGCACATGGGGTGCTGCCTCAGCATGGCTTGATGAGTAGTGCCATGTCTGCACCCAGGAGTCAAACCAGCGAAACCCTGGGCCGCTGAAGCAGAGCACACGAACTTAACCACTCGACCATGGGGCCAGCCCCAATGATTTGTCTTTTAATAATTCTGCATCTGCACCCAATTCTGTAAAAGTTGCAGATAGAGGTATAATATTTGACTGAAGCAACTAATTATTAATGGTTATTCTGGAGGTAAAATGAGATTATGATCAAAGACATGCTTTGAATATTGTAAAGTGCTAGGAAAATATGAGATTATTACTGAAGTAGCTGATTTTAATTTTTTTTATTAGATAATATAGTTGGATCTAACAAAAACAGCACGATTTGTCCTGGTAAGTATGAATTCTTATTTTATGAACTAATACAAATTATAACCTTTTCCTACTCAGAGTATAATGCATTTATACAAGGCTAAGAAAGGCATATTTTTAATAAAAATCCAAAAATAGATTTACTTTTTCTTTACTATGAAGAAAAAAATTCCATTTTATCCAATATAAAAAATGGAAACTCATTTGAAATTTTGTTTTTCTTTTGTTCTATAAATTTAGAGCTTGTTTTCTGACCTTTTTGAGAAAATGCCTGAAAGTTGAGGATTTAGTTACTTATTTTTGAAATCTAGTAAACTAAGGCAGTTAATTAGGAATTCATCTTCATGACAGCCTTATGCTTAAGTATTGTTTATGAATCTGAGTGTAAACACTGTTTCTTATACTTGGACCATGCATACCAGGTATGGGTCTGGTAGTATGGAAAATATGTTGTGTGTACCTAGAATTCTGTCTTTCCTATCAAGCTCATCAAAGCTCTACTGGAGCCATTTTCAAGTAAGGAGACCGTTCAGAGATATAATGAGTAATTTCATGTCTTAATTTGGGAAAGAGAAAACAAGACATTTAATTAACACTGTAGATCAATGTTAAAATCTTTTATAAGTATAATTTGGAAACTGAGAGATAAAGATAATTTGTTTTTAATGGTGAGGGACTAGTTCAAATATTGGCTGTGTTGTTAGCTGTTATGCAGATTGGTCTGGAGCAAGTAAAACTCTTCACGTGCATTTAAAGTAGAAAAGATTTTGAAATACCAGAATTGTATTTTGTCTATTTAATGGCTATTCTGTTATTAAAAAGATGCTAGTTTATTTCTGATAGCATCATAGTTCCACAAAATATTTATGTTTGTAATCTTGAAAAATAAAATAGTTGGACTAGATGATGTCAATCATTTTTTCTGTTCTATAATGTGCTTCCATAATTTCCTCACAGTTTAATATTTCCTTACCTAAAGCATTTATAATAGGTGTAGGTAATTACCTGTATGAGCCCTTGTCAGAGATCCACTTTTGATGTTCAGGAAGCAATTTGAAATCATTCCATGAATGTATAAACCAAAGCCACTTGAGGAAAGAAAAAGCTAGTTTATTTCAATAGACCTTTCTTAGGTCTCATGATTTGATGTTTAAAAGATTAGTGTTGAGAAACCTTGGTGTAATATTTTTCACTTGATATTCAAATACCCAAAAGTGTCCTTTCCTTAAAAATGTCTTCAAAGAAAGCGTATTAATTTTCTTGGGAAATTTGCATGGCGCCATGTTAGGCAAAAAGTTTGAGGTACTTCCTGTTTACTGTGGACTCTTAGAGATTCATTAAGATTAATAACGACAGCACAAATTCAGGAAACATTACTAAGAAAATCTAAATGCAGTGAGAGTTTTTATTGTCATGTTTGTAGATTTTTATTCAGGCTTTTTTCCTCTTATTATTATTAAATATTTTATATGAGAGCCTTAGAAAGTATCTATTTAGTTATCCTTCTGGAGATGCTGCCTAATGGCAAAGTAAAAATCTATAGCTTCTTTAGTTAATATAAACATGAGGAGGAAATAGAGTTTTACTTTTGCTCTAAAATATAGGATGTGATTTTATTCTCTTAATTTAGATGTATTGCAATATTTATTTTTGTTTTCATATGATGACTTTCTTTGTAGATAATTATCAAACGGCACAGCTGCTTGCCTTAATTCTAGAGCTACTCACATTTTGTGTGGAACATCACACATATCACATAAAAAACTATATTATGAACAAGGACTTGCTAAGAAGAGTCTTGGTCTTGATGAATTCAAAGCACACTTTCCTGGCCTTGTGTAAGTAAACTAAATGAAAATTCTTGTAAAACGTTTAAAGGAACAACATTTTTAATAGAGATAAAAGCCGAAGTTACCTATGTGAATTTACTTGTTTTTTTAGCAGTGTATATGCTATTAAAGAGATGATTATGAGAGGCACTAATCTTTTATTTGAAGGACAAGAGGAATAGGTCACAGTGCTTCCTCACCCATATATTGCTCACATTTAGATTCAGTTAGCTTAACTGTTTGAGAGAATACCATGTGCAATGATAACATTTCACTAATAGATCCAGTACTGCTGTCTTTTACATCTGCTTCGTCAAATTGTCGTTTAGTAGTAACTCTTTTTATATTTTGGAGATAGAGGCCTTGAAACATTTTTGTGTAACTCAGATTATTTATTAAACTTGTAAAATAGCTTAAGGGTAGTCCCCTAGTAGACCGCTTGGACCTATAGTAATCAAACTTAAATGCTGATATTTGCTCCAGTGTTGATTTTTGGCAAGCTATAAACTTTCCTTTCCTCTCATAATTTCTCCTGCAAATAGAGGTGAAGAAGCTTCCTTCTCCCTCCAAATAAAGAGAGCTTTATGGGTTACTTCTTTTTTTTTTCTTTTCTTTTCTTTTCTTTTTTGTTTTTGTTTTTGTTTTTGGTGAGGAAGATTGTCTCTGAGCTGATATCTGTTGCCAGTCTTCCTCTTTTTGCTTGAGGAAGATTGTCCCTGAGCTACCATCTGTGCCAGTATTTCTCTATTTTGTATGTGGGATGCCGCCACAGCATGACTTGTTGTTAATGTCTAGGTCCGTGCCCAGGATCCGAGTGCATAAATCCTGGGCCACTGAGTCAGAGTGTAAGAACTTAACCATTATGCCGCCAGGCTGGCCCTGGAGGTTATTTCTGAGCATAAAAATTATAGTTAAAATTTAAACATTTAATTAGAGAAAAAGTTCATCTCTCTTCTACTTCCTTTATTTTTTAAAGACCTTAAAGTAACCACTGTTAACTGCCTGCACTATTGTTTTTCCATTCCTTTTTCCATACCTGTACAAATTTACATAAACATATTCATATGTGTATAGGGTTTTTTTTATTTTTACAAAAACAGGATTATACTAACACACTTCTCAGTCTCTTAATATTACTCTAGGTCACTGAATATGGTGTGAACGAATTTTTTTCCTAAACATAACTGAGTAATATTTCATATAGTGGCTCTTCCACAATTTATTCTACCATTCTCCAGTGCATGGATAACAAAATTATCTGGATATTTTACTATTCCAAATAACACCGTAGTAAATAGCCTAGTACATAAGTATTTTAAGTGCTGGTTTATTTATTTATTTCCATGAGATAGATTCCGAATAATGGGATTGCCAGGACAAAATGTGTATATATTTTTAATATATTCTTTTAAAATTTTAATTTGACATATAGCCTCTAGATTACTTTCCCAAAAGATTGAAGCACTTGACATTCTTCCAGCACTCGATGTTACTGCTTTTTAAAATGTTATCAGGCTCATGATGGAAAATGTGGTATTCCATTTGTGTTTTAATTTACTTTCTTCTTGACAACATCTTTTCATATTTTAGTGCTTTTGCATATTGTCTGTTGCAAACTGCCTGTTATCTTTTTCTTAGAGCTCTCTTTATACTGAAGATACTAACAATTTATCAAGTTTTGGGGAAAAAATGTCCCAGCCTCATATGTCTTTGCCTTTATGGTATTGTTTTCCATGTAACTGTTTTAAAATTCTTAATGATGACAAATATGTCTCTTTTCCTTTTATGGCTTTTTTCTCTTGCTTAGGAAAGTCTCCTGAGATTATACCAATGTTCTCCTCAATTTTCTTCTAATATTTTTGTTTCATTTTTTTGTGTTTATATATGGAATACACTTGAAATTTTGTTTTTGCATATGGTTTGAAGTAAGGGTCTAGCTTTGTTCTCTTCTAGATGAATTGCCAATTGTGCCACCACCTTTATTAAATAAACTATATTTTCCTTAGTGAATTAAAATGTCACTTCTTTTATGTAGTAAGTTACCGTATATACTTGTGTTTTATTTCTAGACTGTCTATTCTTTCATTTCATTAGATGAAATAAATGGGAATGTTTATTCTTATGTCATTATAGTATCTCTGTTGTAAAGTTTAATATCCACAAAGTCCCTCCTCATGTATATTTTTCATAATTTTCTTGGTTCTTGTACATTTGTTGTTCCACGATAACTTAAAAATAATTTTATCCAGTTCATCCTGATTGAATTTACTTTAAATTTGTATATTAATATTAGAAGGATCAGTGTTCTCATGATGGGTTTTCCTCTCTGGCTTTCTATAAGTAGTCCTTTTTGGTGACTGCAGAGTAGTCCCATTTATATGGCTATATCATAATTGAACTGATCTCCAGTACTTAAGTGTTTATATTGCTTCAAGATTTCCATTACTGTATTATAAGAAATGCCATTTAACTATAGCTTTGTGTGTGTCAGTTCATTCACCAGCAGTGGAAGAGCATGCCTGTTTGCTCAAATCTTTGCCAGAACTTCAGTCTTTTAGTTCTGCCACAGAATGAGGTGATATTATAAGTCTAGCACTTCTCTCCACATTGTTTAGTGTTAGTTATTAGAAATTTATACTTTATGTAACCTGTTTTCTGTTTTATTCTCAGATAATGTTTAGAACCTCTTTTGACAGGCACAACTTTTAATGACTTCCATCCATGAACAGAGAGTTGAAATGAGAGACAGACATTCAGAAACCTTGTGTTTTGAAAGATTTGGCTAGTGGTGTCAGTAAAATAAATTAAGCTACTTAAGGAAAAGATCACAAGTTAAAGGATCAACAAACATAAAAATAAGGGATTAAAATTATAGTCTTTTGTGTTTCACAAAAATTTTAGCAATAATATTTAGCTAAGGAAAAGACAAAAGGAAAATTTCTTTTCCATATTCTAAAATGTGGAAAGCCAGATTATACTATTTATACATTACTTTATCATTCTTTTACAAATACAGTATAATCTGCCACAGTACATCTTTACCCAGGGCAAAATAGCTCATAAGCAATTGGTAAACAAAGGAATGATGTTATTATAATGTGGAGGTACTGTTGGTTCACAAATGATTTTTCCAGGGCAAAGGGAGCTGTAATAGTGGGAGTGTAACTATAGCCTTTATCAAAAAAGTGAACAACCTTTAGCTCTCCTGTGAAACTGACAGCAGGAGCCCCTTTGGCTGTATTTTCAGAAAATTTAAAAGTAGCACCTACCTTGAAAGCTTCCTTCCCCAGAGAGATAAGACAATCTTGGCTCTTGGCAGGTTGCACCATTCCTGTGCCCACCTTAATGACAACCCCCCACTGATTCTGAGCTGTCTTCACTGCATTGTCTCAGCATCGACAAGCATTGCTGCTAAATATGGCCAGAACTTGCGTTCTAAGGTCTTTGTGTATTTTTTAATCTCTCTGCCATGGAGCTCCCTGCCTGGGTAGTTATTTATCTCCCAGATACCAATTATTGTAAAGCTTTGGCAACAAAGTTGTACGGGTTTTAAGTGGTCTTTTCCTAACTCTGTTTTTCTCAAAGCCCAATTATTTTTAGTGTACAATTTTGCCTTTTATTCTAGAAGAACATATACATTGCTCTATCCAAAAATACCTGCGTAATAATTAATATTAGTAAGATCATCAACTTATTCCTGCATTATTTTTAATTAGGTGCTCTTCGTTTTATGAGGCGGATAATTGGCCTTAAAGATGAATTTTATAATCGTTACATCACCAAGGGAAATCTTTTTGAGCCAGTAATAAATGCTCTTCTGGATAATGGAACTCGGTACAATCTATTGAATTCAGCTGTTGTTGAGTTATTTGAATTTATAAGAGTGGTAAGTTTATATTAAAGAATTCTTAGTAGAGTACAGTAATTTTATGTTTAGTGATGTTAATGTTTTAAATTACAAAATTCAGCACAGTCCTTTAACCCATATTTACTCTATTCTTCTCACTTCAGTTTTTATTGGTCACATGTTTCAGTATCATGTCTGGCACATGTGGACATTTCATTCAAGCATGCCATTTATGTGATCTCTGTGATCTGTTGTAAGGATAGTAATAAAAATGAATGGAAAAGCTGAAAAATAATTCCTTTGGTAGACATCAATATAAGATGCATAAAAAGTAGGATTTATCATGAATTTAAGTCAAAGAGACCTGAAAGTTAGGTGGACTACTCCCATTGCCTTATTTTACAGATGAGGCACATGCGACACCCAAAGTGATTAAATGACCTGTTCAAGAGCATCCTGTTACTTAGGAGCACAGTCAGGGTTTGAAGATACGTTGCAGCTCAGTTTTGGGCAAAAAAAAGATTTGTCATAAAAAGATCTGGAGAGGGCTCTGTGTGAATAACAGGGATAAGACAGATAACTGTAGAACCGGTACAATAAATTTACCCTCTCCTATACACTGAAATCATTCCACTAGGGGAAATGGCCACATGGTTAGAAAGAACTTGAAACAAGAAAGTCAGATATAGAAATTTGTTCTCTAGTTTTGTTTCTTACAAATCAGATTTCTACTGATGGCAGACTATTCTCATATGAAGATTATTTGGGTGACTGAATTGTTTTCCTAATAGTGGTCAGTTGCCAAGAGTATGATTTTCAAAGAGGATACAAGTACTGTCTATAGCCTTAGAAAAGAAGCAGCATAGTTAACTAGATCACCAAGTCTCTGAACCCAGGTTCACAGTACACTGTTTAATGACTCAGAGATTAACTTATATTGTTATACCTTTAAACTTTTTGGTGAGATACTGATAAAATGAATTGTAGGATTCACAACCCCATCCCCATTCCTATGATTGAATTTGTTTTTCTGAAAATAATTAAAGAAGTGGCTTGTGTATTTCTTACTACTGTTAAAGTCCTGAATCACAACTTTAGTTATTTTTAATAATGAGTCTGCTTTGTACCCATGGATTTACAATGATAATTTAGAATGATTCATTTACAATTTAGAAGTTATTACTGTCAGTTTATTTCACAAAGATTATACCACTGGAAGATGTGGGAATAGACAAGTACAAATCGAGTTTATCAGATCTGTATATGTAATATAGTCGGAGGAATCCATGTTTATTATTTAGGTAAGGCTTATCCCATTATGATAGCAGTTAAATGAGGAGTCATTAATTAAAGCCTAACATTTGTTGAAAATATAATTTCAAAGTCTGCTTTCTAATTAGCTGTGTGCTCTTAATCCAGCCATCCAATATCTCTCATAGCCTCAATTTTGTTTTTCTGTAAAATGAGGATAATAAAATCTATTTCATAGAATTGTTATGAGGATCAAGTGAAATTGTACGCGAAAGTCCTTTTTAAATTGTAAAGTGTTATGTAAATGCAAAAAGTAAACAGAAGACATAAACTAAATCCATTTACTTTTCAAATGTTCCTTATAGTGCCCCAAAAGGGCTCCAGTGAGTTGCTTTTTTCCAAGTTTTCTGTGGAGTCCTGGCTCATGTATAAAGAAAGTAGGACATTAATTTTTGGAAAGTCATTTTCAAAACCCTCTTTTGTTCAGCTTTGGAACTATAAAAAATTTTTTTAAGTTTTTTTCCTCACAAGCATTGTGTTATATTTGAAATGTAAATTTTGTGCTTATACAGGAAGATATCAAGTCTCTTACTGCACATATAGTTGAAAACTTTTATAAAGCACTTGAATCGATTGAATATGTTCAGACATTCAAAGGATTGAAGACTAAATATGAGCAAGAAAAAGACAGACAAAATCAGAAACTGAACAGGTATTATTTAAGTATATTGCATTTATAGCTATAAAATTAAATCCGAAATCGTCTGCAGTTTGGATCTTACATATGAAATTTACCCAGGAATTTTTTTCCATCATTAGGTAGGACCGGGTTATATAAGAGAGTAGAATATCTTCCCTAGCCCAAATCTTTTATATGAAAAATTACTGCTCCATATTGTAACTCAAGATAAATTTTTAGTTTAGTTTACAACATCCTTAAATATTTTGGAGTGTTCCCTGGTTACATCTTGTATCATGATTTGAGGTGATTATGATATAAATTTTACTCAGTTAAAATTACTTCAGCTCCTCTTGGTTATACGTATTTATTCTCAAATTTAATCTGGTTGTGAACTTTAGATCATTACTCAATATTTGTGATATGTTTCTTACAGTGTACCATCTATATTGCGTAGTAACAGATTTCGCAGAGATGCAAAAGCCTTGGAAGAGGATGAAGAAATGTGGTTTAATGAAGATGAAGAGGAGGAAGGAAAAGCAGTTGTGGCCCCAGTGGAAAAATCTAAGTCAGAAGATGATTTTCCAGATAGTTATGAAAAATTTATGGAGACTAAAAAAGGTATTAAAATTTTGAATTTTCGAATTGTGCACCCTCTTCTTCATTACAGAAACTATTAAGTTGCGTGAAGGTGTCGTCATAGTTTATAAAGTGTGAAAGACATGAATTTCATACTGAATCCTGTCCTTTTAAAATTACACACTTTTTCTAAATCTGTTTGGGAGCTCTTTTCATGTTTAAAATGTTTTTTCTTGAAACTGACCATTTTATGATGCTCTCCATTTGCTATTTAGAAGTTGTATTGTCTGCTTATACCTTGCCTCCTGTGTACAGTCTTGTTTTGTTTTGTTTTGTTTTTTTACTGAAAACTCCAACAATAATAGAGACCACATAGATCCATAGAAACTTTCTAGAGCATTCCATCTTTTACAGCTAAGGAAACTAAACTCAAAGAAATAACTTTGCTCTTTGAAATTTTAAAGTCATTATAAAAGTTTCATAAAGATACAATATCAAGAAAAGAAGTAAGAGTAAAATTTCCCTTGTCTTGCAAATATGTTTAACTTGTATATAAAACTAGGATCTTACTAGTATCTTTCAAAAGAACTAATCACTTTAATTCTATAGCCTGGAAAATTACCATTATTGGAATACTGTGCTGTCTATATCATTTAAATGCTTAATAAAAATACCTTAAAAGGAAAAAGCATTTCCTGGACTTCACGTAAGTTTGTGATTTTGAATATGAGATTTTCTAAAGGCATTTCTCATTAGTTAGTGTTTCACTGATTTCTTATTACATTTTCCCTGAAACTGTTGTTCCCAGCCTCACTTATTTTCCACTCGTTAGTGCCGTAAGTTCTATTTACTTCAGCCTAGGGGAGCAAATAGCGTATTAAAATGTCCTATGGAATAGATGTGTTTGGTAGCCAAATTCTTCTACCTTTGCTCATTACAGGCACTGCCCTGACTACTGTCCAAAGAGGCAATGAGGCCATACTTGAAGTACTGCATCCAGTTAAGAATCATATACAAAAATAGTAGCAACCAGATGTTAAAGGATAGTAGACACCTATGTCATAAAAGAAACAGATAAAGGAACCTAGAATATTCAGGAAATAAGATACTGATAGATATGATCTTATCTTTAGGCATTTGGAATAATGACTTGTGGGAGAGATTATTAGGTTTTTAAGGAGTATAGAAGTATAGAGTCAGTGAGTGGAAGCTGCAGGGAGACAATCAAAGGAGGAGTCAGCTGGCTAATGAGTCCTTGGAAGTGTCCTAGAAACAGCAATGTAGAATTCTATTAGAGGGTGGCTGATTGGTTTTCTTTTTGTTTTTTTTTTGTTGTTTTTTTCTTTTTTGAGGAAGATTAGCCCTGAGCTAACATCTGCTGCCAATCCTCCTCTTTTTGCTGAGAAAGGCTGGCTCTGAGCTAACATCCGTGCCTATCTTCTTCTACTTTATATGTGGGATGCCTACCACAGCATGGCTTGCCAAGCGGTGCCGTGTCCACACCCGGGATCCAAACTGACGAAACCCAGGCTGCCAAAGTGGAATGTGGGCACTTAACTGCTGCACCACCAGGCTGGCCCCATGGTGGTGATTCTTAAGGCCCTTTATAATCCTGAGATTTCTAAGATTCCAGCTAATAAAGACTTAATCACCATACACATCATGCTCTACTTTTATCTCTCTTAATAAGTTTTTAAATTATCTTTAAATTATTGTTTTTTTCAAATACTTTGACTTTGCAATATTTACTGATAGAGGTTCAAAATTTTGCTTCTGCTTTAGCAAAAGAAAGTGAAGACAAGGAAAACCTTCCCAAAAGGACATCTTCTGGTAGCTTCAAATTTACTTTCTCCCACTCCACCAGTGCTGCTAATGGAACAAACAGCACAAACAGTAAATCTGTAGTGGCTCAGACACCACCAGCAAGTTCTAATGGATCCTCTTCCAAAACTACAAACTTGGCTACATCAGTGACAGCCACCAAGGTATGTGAAACTGCTCTGCACACAAACTTTGCTTTTTCTATCTGTAAAATTACTTCAAGTTTACTGAAGAAAAATTGGATAATAAAAATAATTTTAAAGGAGAAAAAGTTGCGTGCATTGTCATAGAACATGACTGCTAATGTTTGATTGATTTTAGATAGATAGATTTGTTTATCTGACACATAATTGAGGTGGTTCTATAAACACAGTTTTGTATCCTACTTTTATTTATTTCTTATAAGAGTTTTTCTCTGTTATTAAAACATTGTTGATGACTGTAGAATTTCATGTATTTGGCTGTATCGTAATATTTGTAAGCATCCCCTCCGCACCAGTAATATTTTGGAGCACATAAGTTGATTCTAATATTTCACTGATGTGACCACATCTGTTGTTGCATTTTAAATTATTTTCTTGGCTAGATGAGTAGATGTTTTCACACATATTGTCAAATTCCTCTCCAGAAAGTCTGTACCAGTTTTTGTTACCGTAAGCATTGTATGAGTGTGTTTGGCTCACTGCAGCTTTACCAGTGTTATTACAATTATTTGTAGTCTTTGCCAGTTAGGTAAAGAAGACAGTATGTATCCCATTTTCAATTGTGTGTCCTTTCTTAGTAGTAAGGTCGAATAGTAGCCTTTTGAATTTGTTCTTCTGAAGGTTGTATCTCCATAGTCTTGCCTTTTTAAAATTGGCTTATGTTTTTCTTAATATAAATGAATCTTTAGTTAAGAATATTAGCCTTTTTGTCATTCACATAGCGAACGTACTTCCCATTGGTTACTTTTTTTATAAACAAGTTTAAATTTTATATGAAAGTTTTTTCTTCCACATACATTTTTTATATGTAACCATCGTTTTCCCCAAAAAGGAGTGGCTTAAAAAGGCATAAATTATAGGACAACTGTTAGTATAAAGGGAGAAGGACAAGCGGAGGGAAATGCCATGGTAGTAGAAAACCTAACTGAAGTGCTGGTTCTTGTTTTGAACACAAAGTACAAGTCTGAGTTCATTGTTTTACAAAAATGTAGAATCTTTATTCAATATTTTGTAGTGAGGCATGGGCCTCTTAAAGATCACAGAAGTAGCATTTTCAATGGGATTCTACTATCTTTGAAACACATTTTATGTTTTTAACTAGAAGTTTTAAAATTAGTTTTTACTTTATGATAGGACGATTTAGTTTAATATTGTGACAGTACTAAGAATATTTGCTGTGGAGTTATATTGTTTGGGTTCAAATCTTGGTTCTGCCTCTTTCTAGCTGTTTGATCTTGAATAAGTTTTTTACTCTCTGGGGCTTAGTTTTCTCATTTTACACAGGACTAAAATAGGCTTGTGAAGATTAAATTATTTAATAAATGTGCAGAGCTTAAGACACTATTTGGCATCTTCTCAATATATACTAGCTTTTCTTTCCTTTTTTTTTTTTGGTGAGGAAGAGTAGCCCTGAACTAATATCTGTTGCCAGTCTTCCTCTTTTTGCTTGAGGAAGATTGTCACTGAGTTAACATCTGTGCCAGTCTTCCTCTGTTTTTATGTGGGATGCCTCCACAGCGTGGCTTGACAAGCAGTGCTAGGTCCATGCCTGGGATCTGAACCTGCAAACCCCAGGCCCCCAAAGCAGAGTGCATGAACTTAACTACTACGCCACCGGGCCAGCCTCTCTTTTTTGTCTTAATCAAAGTAATATATGCACTTAGTTTCAAAAGTCAAATAATATTGAAGGTACTAAAAAAATCCATCTTCTTTTCCTCTCCACAGAGATAGCTTTGTACTCCTCTAGCTGTTTCTTCTATTTCAAAATAATGTGTTAGTACTGCTGTATTATTTTGCCAAGTTTAGACGTAATTTATTAAATTCTTGTTATAGTAGATGAGAATTTAGCACATGTCAACACTCTGTACCACATCCTCACCCACATTTCTCCCTGTAGCACAATTTTCTAAGACAATATTTGATAATTTTGTAGGTGTAATGACAATACAGTCATGCACTACGTAACAGCACTTCCGTCAATAATAGACTGCGTATGTGACAGTGGTGTCATTAGATTAATACCATGTAGCCTAGGTGTGTAATAGGCTATACCATCTAGGTTTGTGTAAGTACACTCGATGATGTTCACACGACAGAATCACTTACCAATGCAGTTCTCAGAACATATCCCCATCGTTAAGCAACGCATGACTGTATAAGATATTCTTCATTCATGAATTTCTTCCTGCTCTTTTTTCTATACTCTGTTTTTCTTTATAACTTTTCTCTTTTTCTAGAGTAAATAATTGCCACCATTTTTTTCATTGGTTGCAGTAATTGTGTCTCTCTCACTCATTTTTTCTGTACCTCTCAGGTTAATTTCCCCATAGTCTGCCCGTTGGAGACATCTGTCTTGAAGTCTCCCATCCTGTTCTAGCCTAGATTGTTTGCTCTGTGGACTTGCTGAACAGCTGTTGTCTTAAGGCTGCCTCTGCCATCATCCTAATACTTCCTTTTGCCTCTTTTTATTTTTGAGGAAAATTAGCCCTGATCTAACTAATGCCAATCCTCCTCTTTTTGCTGAGGAAGACTGGCCCTGAGCTGCCCATCTTCCTCCACTTTATATGTGGGATGCCTGCCATAGCATGGCTTTTGCCAAGCAGTGCCATGTCTGCACCCGGGATCTGAATCAGCGAACCCCAGGCCGCCGAGAAGCAGAACGTGCGAACTTATTAACCTCTGTGCCGCTGGGCCAGCCCCATCTCCTTTTTTTTTTTTTGACTGTTTCCTGGATCTTATGTCTCTGTTCTCTTTCTTGATTTTTCTCTCTCATTTTAGTGGAGCAATATCCTCTAATAGTTCCCTGAGAGAAGAATTCCCTAAGATGTAAAATTTGAGACCTTGCATGTATGAAGATGTCTTTATTCTTTCCGCCTACTTGATTGACAATTTAACTGAACATAGAACCAGATTGGAAATAATTTTTTAAAAAAAATTTGCTGTTATTACTGCCAAGAAATCCAAAGATATTCTTATTTCTGATCCTATGTGTTGATTTTTTCTTCTTCTTCTTAGAAGCATTTGGGAAGTTTTATTGCCTGCATTCTGAAATTTTAGGATGATATCACTGGGCATTGTCAGCTAAACAGTCATGTCCTTCAGTTTTGGGACATTTGATGCTCTTTCACTATAACTTATTGTTTGGGTGTTGAGCCTTCTATGGATTGATTTTAGAATTTTCATAGTTTTTCTCTCCTATTACTCAATTTTTTGTCTTCTATTTTCTGCGTTTTATTTCATTGATTTTTTAATTTATTATCCTTCCAGATAATTTTTTATTTCTGAACAAGCATAATCAAGTGCAAGCACAAACACGTTTTTCACACTCAGAGCAGATTGCTGGATATGTTCATTTCTACATCTTTTTGGGGGATAGGGAGAAAACAGTGGTTATTCTTAGAAAACAAATTAATTGCTCAATCACTCTAGACTATCAAAAGATTTTAAATTAAGCAGGATAGGAATTCACAGAAGTAAAGCACTAGTTAAATTGGCTGTCAACCTTCTTTAGCAAACTGTGGCCACATTTCTAAGTAGCATTAGGTTCTTTATTACAAATGGCCATTTAGCCATTTTCACCATCAATGTTGATTGCTATGGTGGAATTGATTTGTTCTTTAAAATTCAATCGATCAGATGTGAACTTGTCTATTTTCCTTTGCAAGTCATCCTAAAGTTCTAACATACTTTTCAAAACCACATTCTTCAAAAATTTTATTGTTTTCCAGGCTGGTGAAACATCAGCTACTAATGAAATTAAACAAAAGATATTCTTTAAAGATATGAATGCTATAGAAACACAGAATACTGCTTTAGTTGTAGAGCTGTAAAACATGCACATTTTCCTCGAGGAAAAATACAAACAAAGTCAGAATGAGAAAAAAACTTTTTTTGCCGCAGATTCATGGAAGAGAACACTGCATCTTGATTTTTCACGTAACAGACTTATCTGGGTGAGCTTTCCAAATCACGACATAAAGGAACTTCCTTCACAGAATTCCAAAGAATAGATAAACTTATTTTATAAATAACCCCTATTGATGGATTTTAAAGTTGTTTCCAGCATTTTGCAGTTAAAACCACTCATGTGACCTTCCACATATATCATTTCACATATATATGTATTTCTATGTAGAATGTACGTTTACAGTTTTGATAATTGTTATCAACTATAAACACTCAGTAAAATAGAATGAATGGATAATTTCTTAATATGATATATATGGCTGATACCAAAAGCTAGCTTTATCCTTAAGGAAGAAATATTAGAAGCATTCCCACCAAATTCAGGAACAAGACAGGCTGCCACTATCACTACTATCATTTAACTATTGTTCTGGGGTATTGATCAATACAAATAGGTGAGATTAAAAAAACGCTGTGAGCATTAGAAAATATCAAAACTATCACTTTTGCTGATAATTAAAAAAAAATTTTTTAATCATGTTAAGGAAGATCTATCTTATTTCGTTAAGTAGAGGATAATTCTTGAATTTGATTTCCTTAGATTTGTTAATATGACAAGTTATATTAATAGCTTTCTAACTTATTTGTTAGCTTATTGGTTTGGTTCAGGAAAAAAGTATCATTTTTTTCCATAGGTTTTTCTTATTGTTATCATTTGTTTTCATCCCCTCTTTCATATTAGAAACTTTCCTCAAGTGTCTGGCAATGTACAGACTTTCTTTTACATTAAAAAGTAAGGCAGATTTTCGATAAGAGTGCCATGACAATTCAATGAGGGAAAGAATAGTCCCTTCAGGAAATCGTGTTAGGATGATATTCACATACCAAAAAATGAAGTTGGACTTTGCCTCACATCATGTTTATATAACTTAACGTGGGTAAAAGATTTAAATATAAACATTAAAACTGTAAGTCTCTTAGGAAAAAATATAGGCATAAATATTCAAGGCCTTGAATTAAGCAATGACTTCATAGATATAACACCAAAAGCCTAAGTGTTATAAAAGAAAATAATAAATTGGACTTCATCAGAATTAAAAACTTTTGTGCTTCTAAGGACACTATCATAAAGTGAAAGACAACCCAAGAATAGGAGAAAGTATTTGCAAATCATGTATCTGATAAGGGACTGGTATCCAGATTTTTTTAAAGATTGACCCTTTGGCCCTGATCTAACATCTGTTGCCAATTTTTTTTTCTTCATCTTCTTCTTCTTCTTCTCCCCAAAGCGCCCAGTACCTAGTTGTATATTCTAGTTGTAGATCCTTCTAGTTCTGCTGTCTGGGACGCCATCTCACCATGGCTTGATGAACAGTGCCATGTCCATGCCCAGGATCCGAACCAAGGAAACCCTGGGCCACCAAAGCGGAGCATACAAACTTAACCACTGGGCCACAGGGCCAGCCCTCAACAACGAGTTTTAAAATGGGCATTTGAATAGACATTTCTCCAAAGAAGATATACAAATAGACCATATAAGCACATGAAACAATGGTCAGCATCATTAGTTATTAGGAAAATGCAAATCAAAATTACAATGAGATTCTACTTCACACCCACTAAGATGGCTGTAATAAAAGGGGGGAGAAAAACAAGTGTTAGGATGTAGGGACATTGCAACCTTCATGCTGTTGATAGGAATGTAAAACGGTGCAGCAGCTTTGGAATACGGTCTGGCAATTCCCCAAGATGTTAAATTTCACTCCTGGGTATATATCAAAGAGAACTAAAAACACATGTCCACACTAAAACTTGTACGTGAATGTTCATAGCAGCATTATTCATAATAACCACAAAGTGGGAACGGTCCGAGTGTCCGTCAACTGATGAATGGATAAAATGTGATATATCCATAACAATAGATATTGTTGGGTCATAAAAAGGAATGAAGTACTGATACATGCAACAACATAGATGAACCCAGAAAACATTATACTAAGTAAAATAAGCCAAACACAAAACACATATTGTATGATTCCATTTATATGAACTGTCCAGAATAAGCAAATCCATAGAAACAAAGTAGATTAGTGGTTGCCAGCAGCTGAGAGGAATGGCTAGTGACTGTTATTGGGTATGGGTTTTTTGTTGGGGGGTAGGGGTGTTGATGAGAATATTCTGGGATTAGTGGTGGTGATTGCACAACTTGGTGAATGTACTAAAACCATTGAATAGTACACTTTACAAGGGTGAATTTTATGGTACATGAATTATGTCTCAGTTTCAAAAATGAGGCAGTTAAAACAGCGAGCAGGGCCTATTGATGTGGACTTCATAGAAGGACTTGAGCAAGTGTCCTGCTTTTTTCAGGGATTCTTAGTTACCTGTAGTTTTGATTAGTTTGTTTTTTCCTGTGGAGCCGCCTAGCTTTACAGGTGTAGCTAGTGTACTATCCCTGGCAAGTATAAGCTTTCCTGTTAGTGTTCTGAGAGCCTTGATAGGAAAGAGAGCTTAGAGTTGGGGGGGTGGGGTGTCTCTACTCAGTATGCAGAATTTAAATTTATTCTTCCATTTTCAACCTGGCGCCTTACCCTTGCTCTTCACTGTGCCTGAAATCCTGAAGTGCAGATCCTTTCTGGTTCCTTTTCTTTATAGTTTGTGGTGATGGAGGAGCAGGAATCTCCTGGAGGTGCGGGTGGGGGTGGGCAAATGGATTGTGAGGACTCTGTTGTCTCTTTTCACTGATTTAACTGTCTTCCCTGCTTTCCCCAGAATTTTGCTGCCTTTACTTACTAGTCCTTTCAGGGGTTAAGACAACTCAGTTTGATTCTCATTTCTGTTTCCCCCTGCAAATACTTCATTATTGACTTTCTCCTCAGTTAAAAATGTTACCTTGCCTCTGATTTTTCTTTTCCAAAAGTGCCTTGACAGCTTTCATCTGTTATTTTCTCCTTTCCTGTTTGTCTTTGTTGGATACACCTTTTTTAATTCCTTTACTGTGATTTTAGTGAGGTTTCAGGAGACAGTGGAAGTAAATGCATTTATCCGTCTTCCAGCAGCTTAGTCAGCTTGAGCTCTTCTCTATTTATACAAATGAAATACTTTTTAAAAATTAGCACTAAAAAAGAAAAACTGTACATGAATTTTACTTATGAATACAGATACAAAAATCTTTAGAAACTTAGCATGTCTTATCCATCTGATATTCCATGTTAAAAGATGGTTTTCAATTTCATTAATAGACAAGAAAAGCTATCATCAAAAACAAAAATTTTTAAAGAGAATATAATACCCTAGGAAAGCAATCTAAATGTGCAACAGGGAATTTAGCTATATGATGATATAGTCATACCATGGAATATTAGAGTTTAAAAGAATGAAATAGAACTTTGTATACTAACAGTGTATTTTTAAGTGAACATAATTGTACAAGGGTAGGTATAATTGCAATGATACTTGTTTAAAAACAGCACATAGTTGGGGCTGGCCCCGTGGCCGAGTGGTTAAGTTCACACGCTCCGCTGCAGGCGGCCCAGGGTTTCATTGGTTTGAATCCGGGGCGCGGACATGGCACTGCTCATCAAACCACGCTGAGGTGGCGTCCCACGTACCACAACCAGAAGGACCCACAATGAAGAATATACAACTATGTACGGGGGGGCTTTGGGGAGAAAAAGGAAAAAAATAAAATCTTTGAAAAAAAAAACAGCACATAGTTGTATATTAAAAGTCTGAAATCTGTCAAATTCTTCACAGGGTACATCTCTGGATTACAGGCCTTTTTACTTCCAGTATTTCACATTTTGTATTTTTAGTGTTTTTACAGTGAACATGGGTTTTTTAATGTAATTGAAAATTGTTTAGCTGAGTGTTTCAGATAGAATATTTATTAATATTAAGCAAAAAGATCACTTTAAATGTTAACCATTTGGAACTCAAATGTTTGTACATTATGATATAGGATCCTAAGCTTAATTAAACCTTTTCTCGATAACTTGCTGTCATCTCTGTGAATATCAGACTGGTGCCTTTTTATACTTTACTTATGTCTTCTATCTCCTCTTATCCAACTTGTTTGGCTTAGAAACTAAAGAACCAATAATAATGATATTAGTAATAGCAGCTAATAGCAGTTATTGAGCACTATATGCCAAGCACTGTGCCAAGTGCTTTACATGTTTTGTTTTCAACTTAATTTTCAAAATAAGTTCGATGAGGTCTAAGTACTTCTATTATACCAGTTTTATAGATAAGGAAACTGAGGCATAGAGATAATAAGTCACTTGCCCAAGGTGATGCACCAAAAACGTGGTGGCATTGGAATTTTGTCAGGCAGTCAGACTACAATCAATATATTCTTAACAATTTAGCCATACTACCTCTTGCTTACCAAACTTAAGAACTGTGTGTTATTGAGCTGAGAAAGAAGCAGAAAGTTTCTCTCATAAATACATGTTTTATTTAGTTTACAGACTTTCTGATAACTATTTCTAGCTGCTCAGAGGCCTTTGTTGATTAATACTAGTGTTTCAGTTATATTCTGGTGAAGTGTTAATGACAGACGCCTGGATTCTTTAGGTATGAAGCTACATAAGTTTGAAATATGAGTTATTTCAATTGTGTGTGTTTTTCCCCTAGAGGCCTTAAGGGTTTGAACTAAATACAACATTTACAGTGGTCCTCGTAACCTGTAGGACATGTATAAATTTCATGGGATTAGTTCAAAATGAATGCAAACCTAAGGACTTTAATTTTCTGGGTAGAGTGTCCAGAGCTTAAATAGGATTTTCAAAGGGGTCTATTATTCATAAAAGACCAAACACCTGAATTAACTCATCCTTACTTTTCTTTCACTTAGAGAGCTAGCCCTAAATTTTTCAGTCACTAGGTTTTAGGAAGCATTTCATGAGTTTATTGTCGTCAGCCATTTTAAACTGTTCTTCAAAAGCAGAATGAAAACAATGATGTATCCTACTTAGTGAAGAAATGTATACATGAGGGACAGAAACTAAAAGGAGACTTCTTATCACTAACTGGCTCTTCTCTCTAGTTCAAAATGAGAGAAATGAACCAGTTCATCTCCAAGGTCCTTCTAGTTCCAAATGTCATTATTCTTTTTGAGTGCTGCTATTTGGAAATATAGCTATTTTTCCACAGTGAAATTTTGCTGAATTAAATTGTGAAGTATCATTAAAAATCCCAAAGCCAGACAGGAAATTTGAGAGTAAGAGTGCTACCAGTTGTACTCACTAAGTGTTCAGAATTTCAGGCAGTTCCTTTATCAAATTCAAGTATATCTGGTTAGGTAGTTTGGAAAAATGATTTCTGATATCTTTAAAAGTGACTGTACTGATAAGCTTTTTTTGTTTATTTACATATGTTAAAAAAATTTTTTTATTATTCAATAGGGAAGTTTGGTTGGTTTAGTGGATTATCCAGATGATGAAGAAGAAGAAGAAGAAGAAGAAGAAGAAGAAGAAGCATCTCCCAGGAAAAGACCTCGTCTTGGCTCATAAAATATTAACTGGGGACCCTCAACATGTGGTCTTACTAAATGCTGCAACTGTTTGATGAGCTGAAAATCTGAATCAGAAAGCTTTCTCACTTGAACTTATAATTATACAAGGAGTAGCAAAAGCCACTCACTGTATCAGCTAGGAGAGTTTAGTTCTGTAAAAAAACAGGCTTCCCAGGAACTTGATCACTTGCTAGTAATTAAGGGGTTTGCCTTTCAGGCTGTCAAAAAAAAGGTTAGTAACCAGAACCTGGGAGATAGCTTCTCAGCAAGGAAACTCAGGTTTTGGGACGGTTTGGGGGAGGGACAAGGTTGATAAAAATAATATTAATGCAGGGTTGCTCCAGGGGGGGGTATCCGATCTAGAAACAGTTATAAAACTTCAGTTGCAAATCCAATAACATTACTTGTATAATGGTGCTGGCCATGTTGTTCTTTTAATCACTTGCCTCTTTTTAAAAGAAATTTTTATGGAAAACAAATTCAACTATCATAAAAAAGGAAGTTAAACTCTTGGGACCATTTCTTTGAAGATTTAACAGAAATTCAGCCTAATAGGTAGTTGGAGGGAAATACACCCTGTATTACAGCACATATTGAGTTTTCTACACCTGGAATTTTCAGTATGTATTTTGATGAAAACAAACTGGATTCAAAATGGACAGTTTTGTTAATATAACTTTAAAATCAGCACTTCTAGAGGTGACAAATGCCAAGAATTAGTAAGTAGTATTCCAAAATGGTTTTCTCTAGGAAGAGGAGTGGATTAAACAGAACGTTTTCAACCACCTACCAGTACAATCTTTTGTGGAAGATACTTTGAAGTCACTTTCTGCTTTGTTAGTAAAGTTGTCTCTCTCCAGAGCTACAGACAAGTTTTAAAGTATAATTTCTATAAAGACTAACTTACAAAGAATAGTGCTGAATTAAGTGGCATTTAATATCTAGAGGCCATTTTGATCCAAGAAGTTCTACACTGTCAAAGTCAACATGCAACACATGAAGCTTTTCCATAAACAAGGGTGTAACATGAAAGCTGCTTTTTTTAAAGAGTAAAAGCACATTCCGTGTACGTAAATGAATTTAAAATAATAAATTGAGGCAAACAGTTAAGACGTTTTATTTTTAGAACAGCAAGTTAACTGTAAATATTTTAATGTTAGTTTGCTCATCTATGATCTGAGATCATGCTGAAGTGAGAAAAATGTCCCCCAAACTACAATTTAATGCGTTGGGAAAAAAAAAACTAAAAATAGTAATTCCAGCTACAATCTTCGGATCACCCTTGTAATGTGTTATGGGTCCATTTTTCCTGGAATACCTTAAACCGAAGCAGTTTCCCCCATTTTGGAGATTTTGTAGTTAATTTTAATTTTGGCTATTGTTTGGAAAAGATGGGCTGTCTGTGTAGATATGAAGTATAGTTTTTCCATAAAACAGATGTTTATTTTGTATTAAAAATACCACTGTACTTGTTTTACACCATTTGTATACATGTGGTGATATTAATGCTGAACTGTAAAATTCAGGAATTAAAATGTGACCCTGTAATTCTATGATTGTTGCTTTTGTTTGGTTTATTGTAAATATAAGTTAACTCCATTTGGAAATATGGCCATTTTACAGTATCTTTTAAAAGCGAGTAAATTATCCATAGATGTTGATTATAAACCACTAGGTCATACACCAGTCTGAAAGAGTTCTAAATAAACGGGGCTCAACTGCACTTTAAATATCACTGCCTCTAATTTTAGAAGGTGTGCCTTGAGCAAATAAAGTCCCAGCACCAAAGCATCAGAGTGTGGGGCTGTTATCACCTCTCTGATTAAAGGAACATATAATGAAAAAGACCTTCCACCTCATAAGGCAAGTGACTCAGGATACTTTAAACGAAGATCAGTAAAGTTGCCATATGAATACCTTTTCTTTCAAGCAAGTTTTATCAAGCCCCTTCACTCTTCTTAGCTCTTATTAAATTTCCTCTTGTAATCTAAGAAGCCCAGGCCTAAAGCATTTCTCTGTTTACTCTTGACTCTTCCTGATTAAGTAATTTTAGGTTCCAGGAAGAAGTATTATCTTTATATCTTGTGAAAAGTTTAATTTTCCTTTCTGAAGAACTGCCATGTGTCTTAAACATTTAAACCGTCATCATCATAGGAACCTTTTCTTATAGCAGAAATGTGAGTACTTTGTTGAATTATAGGATAACAGTTTTCATGGAACATAAGCTCACCCACAATGATATCACAACAAGACTTAAAATAGCCCCTGAAAGAATAATATTAAGATTCTACATGTTAGCTGCTGTCTTAAATGACTACCCTCAGGCAATCAGGTTTTTATATCTTTATCTTCACTCAGTGAAGCAAGCCAGAGCCCACATTTGTATGCCTGAGGTTCTCTTAAAATTATATCTGTAAACATGTATCCAATATAAAAACTATTTTTAATAAAAAGTTACATGAAACAGATTTCTGTGTTTTAATCACTAGTTTTTCCTCTTCTCCTAAGTGATGAAAATGTGACAAATGTAAAGTAATACTGATTTTTTTCTCTGCAGCTTGAAGGTTGGAGGTAATTTTGGTATCCTTGTGAGAAAGTTTATAACTGTAGGGGCCAGCCCAATGACATAGTGCTTAAGTTTGTGCACTCCACTTGGGCGCCCCAGGTTCGCCAGTTTGGTTCCTGAGTGCAGACCTACATACCCGTTCATCAAGCCATGCTGTGGTGGCATCCCACATACAAAAAAATAATAGAGGAAGATTGGCAACAGATGTTAGCTCAGGGCCAATCTTCCTGACCAAAAAAAAAAATGTATAACTGTAAATTTAAGGAGATAAAATGGAATTTTAAGGTAAACTACAGGAATGGCCCATAACCAGAAAAGGGGGTGCTAGTGAGATGACCCAACACAGGAAGTTTCTGAAAGAAAGTTCTCTCTCCTATTCTGGTTATCTTTACGCAGACTACTGTACAGAAAACCATCCAGGATCACTTCACATACAAAAGACCTACACCCAAGGCAGCATTCCCCTCAACAGGCTCAGCCAATTTATCTGTTTTAATGGTAGCTTTTCTAGAAAGAGTAATTGAGTATTTTTAACATCCCCCACATCTATTTTCCAAGTTTTGTTTGCTCCTGCCTCAAGTGTGAGATGCTAAAATCTATCTTACCACTGCCCCAGATAACTCTTCTTTTCAATGGATTACCTTATACCTAATATACCCACAACTACTCTGACTCATGCAACAGTCTCCATACAGCAGCCACACATCTTTTTTAAACGAACACTTTGATATGTAACTTCCCTGCTTTAAAACTTTTCAGTGACTTCCCACTGCCATTATAAAATTTAAAAGGCTCACCTTCCCTACAAGGCCCTGCAAATCGGTACCCCATCTATCACCAATTCAATATGCTAACCCTCTCCCCTCACTCTCTCTACACTAGCCATCCGAACAGCTTGTCGGTATGTGCTTTCTTCTTTTCCTGCTACAGGACCTGAGTTGTTCTTTCCCATTTCTCTCTGCAGTTAGCCTTCCAATCAGCTTAAACACTGCTTTCTCAAGGAGGCTTGGCCAGCCCTGATACAACACGGCACTTTTCCCTTCTCCCAATTTGCTCTTTGGGCCTTCTTCGCTAACCCCATGAAGGCAGGGACCCTGTTGATCTAGTTGACCACTGTATGCTAAGCACCTAGCACAATGCTCAGCACAAACGCTAGGTAAGCAAGTTTGAATGAATGAATGCACTATTAATTAGTTTTCTGAACCTCCTCTCCAAGAGACAACATTATTCGGAAATTTGTGTTAAACTGGTCAGCATAAATAGCTGCCTTCCCCACTGCCCTTTACCTCAAATGTTTAATAAAATAGTAATAATGAGAACATATTTGTATCTACAAACACAAGTATTTGAAAGTAACAGGCTCAGTTTAAGGATTAGATAATTTATTTTTAAGAAAATTTGAACTTCTGTTTTGCTAAACTGTTTTTAACATCACTTATTAATAACTTCTTCTTTAAGTTTCTCTGCAAGCAATCTCCTCTTTAGTAATGTTTGCTTCTCCTCTGCTGTCATTTCTGGTTTCTCTGTCATCTCCTTAAAAAAGAAAAAAAAAAAAGAAATTGGCTACCATATAAGATGGGTTCATTTATCTAAAATTCCCAACATACTGCCTGGAACAAAGATTATAGAGCATTTTCATTAAAAAAAAAAATTTTTAAAGCCACATATGGACTGAGTTCCCTAAATATCTTCTCTGTAACAATCTCTTCTTGGGAAAGCCTCTTGGAGGTGGTGGCTATGATACCGACACAGCTCTAGGATAGAATATTTCAAAAGTCTCAGGTCAAGTAGATTGCTGACCCTTAAGCACTCAGAGCAGGGCAAATAAACCAGAAAAAAATGTATCCATGAAACTGCTATCATTTCTGTCTCACAAAATCCTCATATCACAGCCATCTCACTGCCTAGAAAAGATGTTAGCAAGTGCTACCCTAGCAGGGAGATTAATAAGAATAGATCTGTGAGCAACATTCATTATTGAGGCTTTCTTGCACATAACTCTGATTTTGAGAATACATCCCCTAGATTTGCAGATTTTGACATACTGAGGCTAGCCATACCTCTACCTCCCCAGGCTTTCCTTTCTGCTCCAAATTTTGTATCTGCTTAGTCCTCATCTCCTTTCTCATGGACATCAACTTATCTCTCTTCTGCTTGAGATAGTGTTCTCGTTGCCGGAGCTCTTCCGTTCCAAGAGTTGATAAATTCTGGGTCAAAAAAGAGAACTATTTAAATTCAAGTTTGTATAAGTGGCACAGATACCCACTGATTGATCTGATTCAATAGGAAGTTTGAGTTCAAGATCATAACGAAAGCCAAATGTATGGCTGTTTACATTGTTTGTTCCCAGTACTTTGTCATTTTGCTCATAGTTCTTAGAAAGTAATGTTTCTTACTTACTGCTATTGGTCCTTCAATGCTTGTATGTTCTAAGCCAGGAATCTTCAGGCCTTTTCGTGGAAGGGAGGAAGTTTCAGGCAACATTTCCAGCTTTCTTGCCAAAGGTTGTACTGACTGATTACCAAAATGCACTTTAACCTCTGGCAGTAATTAGAGACAAATTAGAATATTGTAAGAAATATTAAATATTAGGCTAGGTTCACCAAAAACAGCTAGTGTTAATAATACTTTTTTTTTTCACATTCACTCAATCAACACACATTGATTCAGTGCCTATATTGTGATAGGCACCGGCTGAGAACAGTAAACATGGTCTCTGTCCTTGAGGAGCTTGAACTACAATTTCTTATGAATAATGATATTTCAACAAATACCAAGCTTCTGCTATTTGGTACTATAGCCACAAAAAGATATAATTCTTCTCTAAAGATTAGAACTAACTACACTATAATACACTACAAGGTTGCCACATAAGCCAAATAAACAGTACACTAAAATCCCTTACTAGTAATGTAATTGATTCCCAAATTTTTGCCTGCAGGTAAAAACTGTAAGTGACCCTTTATTTTCAGAATAATTAATATAAAGCTACAATTTTTTGTATTGGAAGAGTAAGTGCCAGTAATATTAATAATTTTTGTTTGTGATACATATTGAAGATAACTATGAACCTACCAACAGATTAAAAAAAAAGATTTAAAGTAAATAGAACTTGGAAGGAGATATAACATGAGCACTCAGTACTTTCCAGCGATCTGGTGACTGTGCCAAGAGACAGGATTAACATGCTAATTGCTTTTCTGAGCCATTTTTATTATAAATTAAGGTGATTCTTTTTTTAAGATAAAACATTTTCAGTGTAAGTACATGGACTATGAAGGACTGCAGAGTGAGACAAGCAAAGACTCACATAAAAATGATGCCAAGAACTAAAAGCATGATGGAAGAACATGATTTACATGTCTCTGAATGATTAAAAATCTTGCCAGCATAGTAAAACCAGAAAGAGAACTTCGCGTGAGCAAGAAATTTGCCAAAGGACCACTGCTCTCGCATAGAGTGCTAGGAGACTGAAAGAAGAAAAGCTCTGAGGCTCTTGGACAGTAAGGGGAGTCTCCACGGCAGAGATGAGGCTAGAGATAACATTCCAACCAACCTCGACAGGAAGCTACAGGACTAACTCAAATAAAGATGAGCTTAAACAAGCTGGTCGTAATATGCAGACAGAGTTAAACATGCAATTCTTACTGATGGTGCCTTTAAGCAAAGGTAGGCTTAGCCCCCAAATATGGAACTACAGAGCTGGAGAAGGCACAGTTCAATTCATTTCTGAGGAGGGGGCATCCCAGGCACATAAGCATTTATATTCAATTTATGTACTTGCTCTGGATAGTTCTTGCGTTGAATTTGTTGGTCATGAACATCTTGTATATTCTAACTCAGATCTAGAAAGGAAAGTATTTGAAGCCAATATACTTAGCTTCTCTGATTTCTAGGAATGAAAAATCAGAAAGCCAGCAAGCCCAAAGAAAGATCATCTCATCTCTGGCAAGTCTTTGTGTCAATTTGAGAACAGATGGTGTCCGTTTCTAGCAGGAACCAAGGAAAGACATGAGCAAATGGATAAACAGGAGGTCGAACACCTTTATGATTGTTCCCAAATTAGGTATTCATACCGGGCTTCTATCACGTTGTATGAAGTGATTTCCTGGAATATGGGATAAACTCATTTTTAAAAAATAGAATAGTTTTTGAAAATTAAAATCATTACTTTTGAAATTATCTGCCATTTCTTCTGTGCCACTAATGTGCATAATTGAGTTACATGTGGTTTGAGATTGTTTTCTACAGCTTCACTGAATAGTCAGATAAGGAACTAGATGAAGCAAGTTTATTCAAATTATGTCAGACACAAGATTTAAACAGGGTATGTGTACTTAGGTCTGTATATACAAAGCTAAACTTGGGTCAGCAGATTAAAAAAAAGCTCAGACAAATCTAAAGCAGGTGTTTTCATAGATATAATTCAAATGAGGTTATTCTACTGAGAATCTACAGAATATAAAAAAAGAAAAGAAATGATTAGATTTGCTAGGAAGAAAGAAGTAAGGTAACTTCATAAACCTGCTTCTGTTTCATATGCCCCACTGTTTATCAACTAAGAATATAGTTCCTTAAAATCAATGGGTAAACATCAAACCCATCTTTTCTCAATTACAGAAGTTCTTCTAAAGCGTAGAAGAACACAAGATTTGGAGGCAGAAGACCAAGGTCACAGTTTCACCATTTAAGAGCTCATGATTTTGCACAAGTCACTCAACTTCTTTGACTTTCTTGCAAAAAAAAAAAGAAAACTAAAGATCCTAATATCTACCTCACAGAGTTATGTTTTTTTAACTGAGAAAAAGACATTGATTTAAAACCATAGAAATCCATGATAAAATGAACTGAACTCACAATCATGATTCAATTTGTTTCAGAATTACTTGTTCTCTCATAAAGAAAATCAGAGTATACTGAAAATAGATTTGACACACTGAACAAGTTTATCCACTACCATTTCCCACTAGGATTCTCACTGTTTTTGGTTTCAACAATAGTTTCTGACTAAATATCTAGATAAATTAGCGACCTCTTATTTTCTACCTGTGCTTTAATTCATTAGGAAAATGACTTAGTATTATCTTTCCAAGTTCAGCTTCTAACTCACAAACACCATATAAGTGTGGTCAAGGAAGAGAACACCAAATGTTACGTGAACATGTCTTGGATGCTGCAGCCGTGGCAGAGAGGCTGGTGGCTCCCTCAAGGAATTTTGCTCACTGCTCTGGGTTCCAGGCTTCACTTAGAAATTTGGGGACTACACCTTCTCTGTCAGCTGGGTATTTCTCCTCTGCCACCTCTTTAGCTAAATTCAGAAAGAACTTTAAGTACCAATAGCCTTTCAACAACTCCCTCCCAGGGTTTTTGAAGCTTAAGTATGTATGAGAAAGTAGCACACTATTTACAATGTTTATGTATTCGAACTAGTAGAGAAAGCTTGGTCAACTTCAACCTTACCTGTGGGTGGGTGTGCAAAATGTTCACCATCCCCTTGGGAATTATTCATTTTTGCAATTTCATTAGCATGCACTGGGGGCTCTTCTGTTTTAGCCTCTGATAACTTCAGGAATCCATAATACAATTAAAAAAAGCATTTTAGATTAATTTTGACTAATTCATTGCTTAAGGGATCCAAAGACATAAGTTTAAAAAAAATTACTGTATACTAAATAGATAATGAACAAAATATTCTATTTCTCCAAAGTTTTTAAGATATTTCCAGCATTTTATATCTTCCACTTTTTGAGGTAAGTAAACATTCTCATTTCAAATCACGCAGTGCTAAGAGTCACTAACTAGTATAGTTAGGACTTTGGACTTAGCAAGAAGTGGGTTCAAACCTAGATTTCACCCTTACTAGTCATGTGACCTTGAGCAAGACACTGAGAAATACTCTGAGAAATAAAACCACTGAATTATAAGGTGCTTTTCCATTTAAAATAATCTATATACCACTACTATGATATGCCCGAAGAAGCTACAAATTGGTTTATTTCCATTTCTAAAATGTGATAGTATATTTAAACTAAAGAAATCGTTTAAATCTTAGAAAGAATTAAACAAGCTGATAATTCATTTTTCCTTAAAAACAGAGGAAAACCCAATCATATGTAGCTTCTTAGGTAATTCATGGATATCCAAATCATAAGCCCTATATGCTGGGTGACGGATACATGAAGATTCATTATTATAATCAGCTCTTATTTTGTGTGTTTGAAAATTTCCATAGTAAAAAGTCTAAAAAAACTCATACACCCCTAAAACATATTACTCAAGAAGCCTAATATAGTTCATTTATAAATCAGAGTGTTAATACTGTCTTCTGACAGCGGTTTTGAATTGGTGTCTGTTCTGTACCCTTATATTAAAAAAAAACTTTATTAATATCTGTGAGTTTCACCTCCACTGACTAAAAGGAGATTTACTCAAAGATACATAAATCACCTCTTAATCCTAAAACATCTCTTTCTTCTGCTCTTCATTAGGTACCTTGGAGTAAAATAGGTTTTTCAAAGACAGTGAGTGATACAAGCACCTATCATAGTGACTGAAGGGAAGAAAGGCAAACGCCTTTCAAGTGACTGAGAGAGAGTACATATTACGTTTCCCTTTCCCTTCAGGGAGATGCAGGAAAACGGGGAAAGAGAGGCAGCTAGAAAAGGAGAGAGGAAAGAATAAATATTAGCTTTCCTCCCCTCAGCCAAATACATGTTTAATTATCCTTACGAAAAATTAGGCACTTTACAGAAACAGTTCTTAATGTGTGCCAGCAGATGTGACACCGTGACACTGAAGCACCCTGCTTCAAGCTTATCACGGTAAATCCTGCAGGGAACCCTCGGTGCTAACCGCAGTTGCTGCTTCAAAATAGTAAAATAATCAAGGACAGTGGGAAAGCAAAATATTTTTCTTAATCTTCTTTTATTCATAAAATTAAGGGGAATTTTTTATAAGTATCCCCCCAAATATAAATGGTATTACATTTTTTTGGAGTTAATAATCTCAGTCTTTACTGGGAATTAAAAGGTAGACTGCTGGATGAATTATAAAGTTAAATATAAATGCTTAGAATTGACAAGAAAATATGAATACTCTGAGGAGCTGTGTAGTCCCACGTAAGCTTAAACTCTAACGGCAAAAACAAGGTGTAAATTTTAGGAATAATAGCAATGAAATACTTCCGTTACATTAACATGTTCTGCAGGCACCTGCTTTTTTCTCTTCCTTTCTTCCTCCTGGTCATATTCCTCTTTTGATTTTCTGAAATATACAAAATAAGGTAGAAAAGTAAATTTTGGTCAAAGAACAAATACTCAATAAGCAACATGCTAACCTAAGATTACAGTGTGTGGAGAAATCTGGGAAACAAAGATGGAAATAATCAGGCTTTGCTTAAAGCAGCTTACAATCAACTGAGAAAGACATACATAGGCATATACAGCATAATATAGTTAGTGACATAAGATACAGGTTTACCCATTTATTCTAGAAATGTGAATAACCCCTGCCTGAACAAAGACCAAAAGGCTTGAAATCCTAAACCCAAATTTGAATGGCAAATCCCATTAACACAGACTTTGATCTCTCGAAGAGAGATCAGGTACACCCCTCCGATAAGATCCATTTCTCCCCTCATTCTAGTTTTTCCAATGGCATCTGAGTTATCACCAAGTCCTCCTGATGCCACTATGCCACAGCCATATCAGCTTTTGTAAACTGCTCACTGAGGCAGTCTGATTTAGGAAAATAGCCAAGGTAACTCTTGTGCATGTTCATAACTAAGCTCTGCTACTTATACTGTAGTACACCCCCCAAAAAAACCCTGAGAAAATAAAATCTCAAAGTACAATGCTGATCGATTTTCAGGCCACCAATCAACTAACAGAAGCAATCAGTACCAGTGAAAACTTTACCAGTCCTCTAACCCTATTACCAAGTACACTCACCTCTTCAAACCTGTAAATTCAAAGCATTCTGTGTTGTCTCAGGCTCCCATTTGCCCCTCGTGGGGAAAGTAGGATCTGGCAGGAAAGGGCTGGGGTCACCTGCACACCTGCCTCCCCGCCCCAGAAGCACTCCACTTCCCTGAAATCTAGAGCACTAAGTTCTGGAGCTCCTTCCATAGTTGCCCACTAGGCCCATCCTCCCAACCACCATCCTGCCCAGCCTCCCTTCTGCTTTGGAGCTGGGGACAAGCTGGGTAGGTCGGGGGACTACAGGATGCTAGAAGATGGTCATGTGTATGGTTATAGCCCTCAAAGGCCAAGGCCCCATTCTGCAGGTGACACAGTGGCTGCAGGTATCCTTTTGCCCTAAACCCATACATTATCACAGGAGCTTTAAAAATGAGGTGCTGCAATTTCCCTTCCCTTCCAAAACTCCCAGAGGTCAGGGGACAACAGGCCCAAGGGGGAAAAAAGGCCTTTTTTAGTGGGCTGCACACTCCATGCGAGGCATTTGGCTGAGAATCATATAACTGAGACAAGGAAGAAACCAGCAAGACAGTCATCTGGGATGGCCACAGATGCCTGCAGGTTACTGGCAACCCTGTCAGCTATTTTGTCTGTAGGGTCTGGATGTCCAGCCTCCTCCTGAGAGATACCTAGCATGAGCCACCTCCAGTACCGAGATCCAGAAACCATGGAGTTTCCTGCTCAGCTCAGGCCATTATACGCCTTTCCAGGCACCAGGCTGAGTCTACTGCACCTTGTTCCCAGTGGTGGCTAATTTCTATTCCCATCATGGGAGTGGAAGAAGACGCTCCCATTTGGGCTGGTTTGATATGAGTCATCTGAAAATAATTTTTTCTGTCCATTAAAAAATGTAATATACACATAGTTATAAACAAATAAAATTATAAATAATTTTCAAGGTCTTCAGTAGAGAATTTAGATATTTTTCTAGTTCATAATATTTTGGAGGTAAAAAGCATGTAAACAGATCATATTACAACATTACTAATGATTCATTCAAAACATAATTAAAGAAGGATACCTGAGAACTTCCCTCAGGATTTTCATCTCTTCCTGTTCGAGGTCACTGACCACATCAGAACCATCTGTTAAGCAGTCAGGTAATACACCTGTTCAAAACCAAAGACCACATGGAAGAACATCAACTCAACTGAAAACATTCATTTCTCACTATTCTAGTTCATCAAGAGGTACTAATTAGTTCACTAAGATCTATCACTTAAAAAAATGTTCTAAACTATTATCTTTTTAACTGTGGTCTTTTTAATATTTTCTTGTTTTAGGGAGTCAGCCCCACCAAAAAAACACAATTTTAACTTGAAACACCTCTTAGTAATTATTAGTATTGCCTATTAAAAATAACAATAATAATATATGGCAATAAAAATTAATTAACATAAGCTATTATCTTCCATAATCATATACTGTCTGAAGATATACCACTGAAATCATTAAGCTCCTAATAATAAAACTATGCTCTCAAATGTATCTCTTAAGTGGGAAAAGAATTTACAAAACAAAATATGAAATACTTTGTTAATGGAAACTGCATATTAATACTCTTCATTCATACTACAACAAATGCTACTGAAAAGGGCCCTGCTTAGTACATGCAAAAAAGCATGGTGCTAAGCACTTAGGGGGAATATAAAGATGAAAAAAACAATCTCTGCCCTTGGAGCTTCTATTCAGATATTGGGCTAATAACTATAAACCAGGACAGTACCAACTTTGGCCCAAGGTGAATAATAATTCATGGCAAGTAATTTTAAGCATTGGTTTAATTTACTTTATTACTTATATCTTCCTGATAAGCAGGTACACTGGTAATAAGCATTCTGTTCATATCTATAATTATTATATTCCCATGACATTAGCAGCATGTCTCTTAATTTTTACCTTCCATTTCTTTATCCCCATATGACTATGGGATTTTAGATCTGCTCTAAATTAAAGTAGCTTTATTATTCTAATTCCCTTGATGTTTAAACATATTCTTTTAATTAAACTTTTTATTTTGAGATAATTGCAGATTCACATGCAGTCATAAGAAATAATACAGAGAGATGCTATGCACCCTTTACCCAGTTTCCCCAATGGTAACGTCTTGCAAAACTACAGTACAGTATCACAAACAGAAAACTGACATCTATGCAACCCATTGATATTAAGTGCGTTTTTGCTCAGTCAAAAGATAGAAAATTAGTGTTCTCCTAATAATCTTTCCAAGAAAAAATAAAAGAACTAAGAATAATGCAACAGTATGCAAAACTTCAAAATCATCAGAATAATGCTCTGATTTGCATTTCTTCCAAATTCTTTGATAAGATACAACCAAGAATCCAGAGATCCTTTGAATTTTTCTCACCACAAAGACAATTTTCAAATGGTCTTCAGTTTTGAGTACAATCAACATCGTTCTAAGGTACTCACCCCTGGCTCTAAGTTAAGAAATAGTCTTAAACACAAGTATTAAAAATTCCGTGGCAGAAACTAAGTATTAGTCTATGTTTAAATGTAAGCCAACTGTCCCACCCTGTGGTTTGACAGCAGCATTATTCAGCATCATTCCCCTTGTCCTCACCTACTAATATAAGCCAGGTTTGTGAAGTTATCAGGCAGCCAAGAACTTAGAGGCAGGGCCCTACCTCACCCCACAAGAGTGACTCATGTTTGGTTTAAGCCAACCATAATGGTCTTATTCCCCCTGCCAGAGGGTTTAAGAAAGGCATGTGACCCCAATCCTGACTAAGAGGACCAGAGGGGAAAACTCCAAGGGGCATTCCATGACAGTGTTGTCTTGCTAACAAAAAGAGATGTACAGTAAGAAACATTTCTTCATGAGACACTGTTGAGTCTGCATTTGATGTAGCCAGAGTTCAATCATGAGAGAAGAGCCTGAGAATGGAAGAGTATAAAGATGGAAAGTGTCAGCATCCTTGAAAACATCATTGAGCCACTAAATTCATCAACCCTGGACCTATCTTCCTTCCCTCCCTTCCCCTGGATTTGTTCTGTGAGATGAGAAGTGCTTATTACTTAGGCCATTTTCATTGAGGTTTTCTGCTAATGGCAGCCTGAGTCATCCAGCTGATACAAGCTATATATACTAGTTCCTCTTTAATTAAAATCTAAGTGAGTTTCTAGTTAAATTCCAAACTGAAACTACAGAGCGCCAATATCAAGTTCACTCTTTGTTTTATGAAAACTGATGCCCCTAAAACAATTTTAACTAACATAATTATTCAAATTCTCTATCCTAGAGGTCAGAATAAAGTATAGGTTCAGGAAAATTCAGAGAAAAGGATTTTCTAAAATAAACCATGGTAGAAAGACAAGAGAAAGAGATTCTTTTCCAAACTTATTTACATCAAAGCAACAGCACAGTGTCATGCATTGTTCAGAGTTAGGGTGGTGTTATCTCCTACCCACAGACAACAGCTCTCTTACTTGCTATGAAAAGCATCTTTGAATTTGAGGGTACAGTTATGATGGTGGTTGGCTCTAAGGGATAGAGTCTCTACTCACATCACTCAAATGAGAGAAGAATCCACAGGGACCCTGCAAGATTCTAATGTTTGCCTTGCAACAACAGAAGCCAGACAAAGACACTACAAAAAAAAAGAAAATTACAGGCCAATATCCATGGTGAACATAGACACAAAAATCCTCAACAAAATATTAGCAAACCAAATTCAACAATACATTAAAAGGATCCCACCATAATCAAATGAGTTTATCCCAGGGATGCAAGGATGGTCCAACATCCACAAATCAATCAACATGACACACCACATTAACAAAACAAAGGATAAAAATCATATGATCATCTCAATAGATGCAGAAAAAGCATTTGAAAAAATTCAACATAAATTTACGACAAAAGCTCTCAACAAAATAAGTATAGAGGGAACATACCTCAACATAATAAAGCCCATATGTGACAAACCCACAGCGAACATCACATTCAATGGTGAAAACCTGAAGACCTTTCCCCTAAGTTCAGGAACATGACAAGGATTCCCACTTTTATTCAATATGGTATTGGAAGTCCTTGCCACAGCAATTAGGCAAGAAAAAGAAATAAAAGGCATCCAAATTGGAAAGGAAGAAGTAAGACTATCATTATTTACAGATGACATGATACTATATATAGAAAACCCTAAAGACTGCACCAAAAAACTTTTTTTTTTTTGCTGAGGAAGATTAGCCCTGAGCTAACATCTGTGCCAAAATTCTTCCACTTTATATGTGGGTTGCTGCCACAGCATGGCTGATGAGTGGCATAGGTCTATGCCCAGGATCTAAACCCACAAACCTGGGCCACCAAAGCAGAGCATGCCAAACTTAACCACTACACCACAGGGCCAGCCCCTCAAAAAACTATTAGAATAAATGAACTCAGCAAAGTTGCAGGATACAAAATTAATATACAGAATTCTGTCATGTTTCTATACACTAATAACAAACAATCAGAAAGAGAAATTAAGAAAACAATCCCATTTACTATTGCATCAGGAAGAATGAATACCTAGGAATAAATTTAACAAAGGAGGTAAAAGACTTGTACTCTGAAAACTATAAGACACTGATGAAAGAAAGTTAAGACAACATCAATAAATGGAAAGATATACTGTGCTCATGACTGAAAAAAATTAATATTGTTAAAATGTCCATACTACCCAATGCAATCTCTATCAAAATACCAATGGCATTTTTCACAGAACTAGAACATAATCCTAAAATTTACATGGAATCACAAGAGCTCCTGAATAGCCAAAGCAATCTTGAGAAAGAAGAACAAAGCTGGAGGTATACTCTCTGATTTCAAACTATACCACAATGCTGTAGTAATCAAAGCAGTATAGTACTGGCAAAAAGCAGACACAGAGATCAAAAGAACAGAACACAGAGCCCAGAAATAAACCCACCCATATATGGTGAATTAATCTTCAACAAAGGAGAGAGAACACAATCTCTTCAATAAATGGTGTTGGGAGAACTGGACAACTACATGCAAAAGAATGAAACTGGACCACTACCTTACACCATATACAAAAATAAACTCAAAATGGATTAAAGACTTAAATGTAAGACCTGAAACCATAAACCTACTAGAAGAAAGCATAGGCAGTCAGCCCTTTGACATCGGTCTTAATGATATTTTTTCAGATATATCTCCTCAGGCAAGGGCAAAAAAAAGCAAAAATAAATAAATGGGACCCTATCAAACTAAAAAGCTTTTGCACAGCAAAGGAAACCAGCAACAAAATAAAAAAGAAACCTACTGAATGGAGAAGATATTTGCAAGTCATATGTCCAATAAGGGGTTAATATCCAAAAGAACTCATACAACTTAATATCAAAAAAACCAACAATGTGATTAAAAAGTGGGCAGAGGACCTTAACAGACATTTTTCCAAGGAAGACATACAAATGGTCAACAGGCACATGAAAAGATGCTTAACATCACTAATCCTCAGGGAAATACAAATCAAAACCACCATGAAATACGACCTCATGTCTGTCAGAATGGCTATTATCAAAGAAACAAAAAACAACAAGTGTTGATGAAGATGTGGAGAAAAGGGAATGCTCATGCACTGTTAGTGGGAATGTAAACTGGTGCAGCCACTATTGAAAACAGTATGGAAGTTCCTCAAAAATTTTTAAATAGAATTACCATACAATCCAGCAATTCTACTTCTGGGTATTTACTGGAAGAAAATGAACACACTAATTCGAAAAGATACATGCACCCCTATGTTCACTGCAGCATTATTTACAATAGCCAAGATAAGGAAGCAACCTAAGTGTCCATCTATTGATGGATACATAAAGAATACTATTCAGCCATAAAAAAGAATGAAATCTTGCCATTTGCAACAACATGGATGGAGCTATAGAGGTTATAATGCTAGTGAAATAATTCAGACAGAGAAAGACAAACACCATATGATTTCACTTATATGTGGAATCTAAAAAATACGACAAATGGACAAACAAAACAAAACAAAAACATACTCATAGATACAGAGAACAAACTAGTGGTTGCCAGAGGGGAGGACGGTAGGGGCAGGGGATGCAAAATAGGTGAGGGGATTAAGATGGAAAAACTTCCAGTTATAAAATAAATAAGTCATGGGGATATAATATACGGCATAAGGAATATAATCAATAATATTGTAACAACTTTTGGGGGGACAGATGGTAACTAGACTTATCGTGACGATCATTTCATAATGTTTATAAATATCAAATCACCATGTTGTAAAGTTGAAACTAAGAGAATGTTGTATGTCAATAATACTTCAATAAAAAACAGAAACCGAGGGGCTGGCTCCGTGGCCGAGTGGTTAAGTTCGCACACTCCACCGCGGCGGCCCAGGGTTCGGATCCTGGGCGCAGACATGGCACCGCTTGTCAGGCCACGTTGAGGCAGCGTCCCACATCCCACAACTAGAAAGACCTGCAACTAAGATATACAACTATGTACCGGGGGTTTGGGAAGATAAAGCAGAAGAAAAAAAAAAAAGAAGATTGGCAACAGTTGTTAGCTCAGGTGCCAATCTTTAAAAAAAAAAAAGAAAAAAAAGAAACTGAGATGTTTTGAGTCAAGATGTCAAATGTAGTTCAAGTACACAAGAAGGGAACAAAAGCAGTAAGAGCTAAGAGAAACTGAGATTAGACAGAGTCAGGGAAAAGATAAAGCCTAAGAGGGTTCCTAGGACCTGAGTTCTGTTTTCTTTTCCACCCGATGGTGGTGCAATCCTATCTGCCCATGGCCTAGAACAGCGGCTCTCAGTGCAATCTCAGTACCACAGCTTTAGTATCGCCTGGGTACTTGTTAAAATTGCAAAGTATTCAGCCCCATTCCAGACCTACTCAATCAGAAACTGGGAGACAGCCATAGGTGTTTCAACAAGCCCTCCAACTGCTTCCACTGCTCACTAAAGCTTGAAAACCACTGTCTCCTACAAAGGCCCTGATGAAACCAGCAAATAGCCATTGATGATTAAGTATCTAGGTACTAAGGTTCTTTCCTTTTTTGCAATTACTGATTATAGCTTTTGGCTGTTTAACCCATCCAGCCTTAACTGTGCTGTTTAGGCAATATGCTATCTGACTCCCACTAGGTTCCTATAGATAACATCTCCCTGGAGCCTGGGTCACCATGGTAATGGGCGTGTGAGCTGTTTTTCAGGAATCACAACTCCTTGTCCACTTCAGGCGGGTTGAGACCACCAACCCATCAACCGGGACTGTGCAGACGTCCTATGGGCGACCTTTTGACATCAAGAGGCTAAAAACTCCACCCTCAGATCATGCTAATGCTGCCATTTTGTGAACATGTACCCTATAAAGAGCCATGGAGTCTGACTATGCTTGCACAGATCATAATTACCTCACCTCTCTTCACCTCTGATCACCTACTTCCACATTTCAGACCACCTTGCCCCCTACCCCATAAATATTCCTGAGTCCCTATTTTCAGGGAAGTGAATTTGAGGCTCACGCTCTGGCTTCCTCATGTGGCTGCCTTGTGATTAAACTCTCTGCTGCAATCTCGTCATGTCGGTGTCTGGCTTTCTCAGTGGCAGGCAAAAACGAACCTGGTTCAGTAACACTAACAATGATAAGCCAGAAGGAAAAGAGCAGTCATCTATCTTCTCACTGTAACCCCTCAGAAATACTGAATTCCATACACACACTGGCTAGGCAAAAAAACTGAGCTCTCTGAAACCTAAGGCATCATTAAATCAAATTGTAGTCTGCTTTCTTTGAGATGTCAAACACATAGTGATCAGGTAGTTTATACTCTTGAATCTCTAAAGTCAGCCATAGAGTTTCACGCTTGAAATAAATTTATGCAAGGTAGCTACATTTAAGACCATATTAGAATCAGAATAGTCAAAACTGCAACAACAAAAAAAACGCATGTAGCATTTAGATTTCTAAATTCAACATTTTACCATTTCTCTCTTGAATTATTCGAATGGCTTGCAGCTGCATTTCAATGTTTTTCTGGACCATCATTGTTTTAAAGATAGTAAAATCTTCCGCTGCCAACACAGGTTGCAAAATGGCCTGTGGAAAGAAGTCTCAAGTTAAACAAAGATTCAAATTTTAAAACTATTTTCTACACACTCAAATCATTTCCACTGTAAAAGGTGCATTAATTCAAGAATGCTGCAATATTATTTATAATTAGATGACTCAAAAAGACAATTTGAAGATTTTATTCTAAAAGCCTTTAAAGTAGGGTTCTTAAGAGACTGACTCTCCCAACCCCCAGGCCTCCAGGAAGCTAAGGCTGACAGTGATACATTTTCCAAATAAGCAAGTGATGAGTTACTCTGAAAAACAACACAGGAATTGGCCTTACTTTTTTTAAAGTTACCGCTTCAGTATCTTGATTTGTTTTTCAGCCAAAATAATGTAATCTATATGCTTTATATTCTGTCACTTGAAATTTACTGTTTAATGATAAATCAGCAACTACAAAATTATCCCTTAATTAATTAAATAAAAGTAATAAAATAAAAGTAAATACCAAAAAATGGAGTCTGGAAAATAAGTGTAATGAGGTATCAGTAACACGAGAAGGCAATTGTAGTTATTTATATGTAGAAAGTTTTGTGGAAGAGGTAGTTAGAAATTATGATGTAAAATCATTTTCTGGATGGAACAGAAGTCTAACAAATTAAGAAAAAAATAAAGGTATCTACTCTAGAGTTCCCAAATTAACACTTCCTTAACCACAGACAACTACTGCTATGTCAAAAAGCAAACCAATTCCCAAGCTGATTAAAAAGAAGTAGAATAAGATTTGAAATGTGTGAAAAACCAAAAGATAACACTGAGATCTTATCTGTCTTACTAAAATCTTATTTCAAACTTTACATGATATTAATAGAAAAGGTGACCACACAAAATCATGCAGAGGCAACCAAGGGTGTGCCATTGTTTACCAGGTGGACAGCAGCAATAACGTCAGAGAGACATCTCAACAAAAGCTCCACCAAAGAGCTCTAGGCAAAGAGGAGGAAGCCCTTCCCACAACAGCCAGCTCACATCCTAGACACCCGCGGTAGAGCTAAACAAAATAAAGTGGAAAAGCAGCTCTCTGTGACAGGAAGTCAACTGCAGGGAAAAAAAGCTGGAAAGTTTCTTTTCCTTTAAATTCACATAAACTGTTCAAAAGGCCCAGGGCAGGGGATGGCAAATAGGCTTTATCTGTTTTTGACTGAAAGTTGCAGCCCAGAGCTCAGTATTGAAAACATTTCTGGGCAGCCTCTGTGATAGATCAGTGATGTCTGCCAGGACCTCTTTATGGGATTATGCCACCACGTAACTTTGGTCTGGGGCTTCCTAGGCTTCTTACTAGTAATATCAAGTACTTTATCCTCATCACCAACAAACACTTGAAGGGCTTACTGATGACAATGTGTCGACAAGAGCTTCTATCAGCAAGTCAGAGTTTGAGTTGATACTTGAAATTATAGTTCAGGGCTTCTCAAAGTGTGTTCCTTGACCCATCTAAGAAATGCAGGAAAGAGGCATTGTTAAATGCATATTCCTGAGCTCTGCCCTAGACATAATGAACCTAAATTTCTGAAGGATGGGTGCCCATGCACCTCCTCAGATAATTCTCATAACATTAAAGTTTGAGAACCATTGATACGTTGGGGAAGAAAATGAGCCCTTGATATTAAAAGCCTACTTCCAGCTTAACCATGCAGCAGCTGTATGACTCTGGACATACTATTAGTCCTCTGAGCTTCAGTTTCTTCATCTGCAAATTAGTATAATAATAATAGTAATACAGTATTTCACTGAATCTAAGACTCCATAGACTAGTAAAATAAACCATTATTTCAAGTACCAAGAAAAGCAAAAAAAACCCTGCCAATTAAATTAAAACATGCCATCAATTATAAAGTGCATTCTCATTTCAGAGATATTATAATATGAAAAATTTGCATTTTAGAATGAAAGAAATATATTAATAACTTTCTGGCTGGGTGTCAGAATTAAACAAGATGAAAAAGCACTTTTTAACTGAAAAGTACCTATAAAAGTAATTGCTCTGGCCCTTATTGAGGCTGGTTAAATATCAAAATAGTGTTCTACACCTAACAACTTTACAGCAATCTTCTGGTTCAAGATTCTGGGCTCTTCTGGTCCAAGGAAATAGAGCACCCCTCTCCTAAGAGCTTCCAATAAGGGCAGTTAGAGGAAGTGAATACAAGAGTTACTCCAAAAAACTAGCAAGTAGTTTAAAAACAACAATCTTAAGAATCCTTTAAATTAATTGAAATGTCAAACTACCTTGAAAAATTATGAGGTAAAGCAAATGTGATATCTATGTTTGAGAAAAGCACATTAACAAAAAAATGAGCATTGAGTCATTAAAATCTGACTTAAATGAGTTTAAAAGACATTCAAACATGTTCACACTTAGCCTAAGGTAACCCTATTTTTATCTCTGTTTAGACAATCACACTGTAGTTTTGAAAGGTACAATCATGCATTTATGCTGCTCCATTAATAGAAGTGCAACAAGAAATAGATGAATTCATTATTATAGTTGGAGACTTCAACACCCTCTATTAGTAATGGACAGATCCAGCAGGCAGAAAATCAGTAAGGACATAGCTGAACTGAACAGCAACTCCTGTCAACTGGATCAAATTGACATTTCTCCAACAACAGAAAAATATACATTCTTTTCAAGCTCACATGGAACATTCACCAAAACAGGGAACATTCTGGGCCATAAAACACATCTTAATAAATTTAAAAGAATAACACTCATACAAAGCATGCTCTCAGACCACAACAGAATTAAACTAGAAATCACTAACAAAACAATAGCTGGAAAAGCCTAAAATACTTGGAGATTAAACCACACACTTCTAAATAATATATAGGTCAAACAAGTAGTCTTAAGAAAAATTTTTAAAATACTTCTAACTAAATGAAAATGAAAATACAACTTATCAAAATTTGTGGGGTGCAGCAAAAGTAGGCTTTGAAGGAAATTTATAGCATTGAATGACTATAGTAGAAAAGAAGAAATATCTAACATCAATAATCTAAGCTTTCCCTTAGGAACTACAAAAAGAAGAACAAATTAAATCCAAAGTAAGCATAAGAAAAAAAGTAGATATTGGAGAAGAAATCAGTGAAATTGAAAGTAGAAAATCAACAAAAGTAAAAGTTGATTCTTTGCAAAGACCAATAAAACTGATAAATTTCTAGCGAAGTTAACTAGGGAAAAAAGAGAGAAGACATAAATTACTAATATCAGAAATGAAAAAGAGGACATCACTAGAGATCTTATGGACATTAAAAAGATAATAAAGAAATGTCATGAACAACTCTGTGTCCACAAATTTGATAAGAGAGATGAAATGGATCAATTCCTTGAAAAACACAAGCTGCCAAAACTCACACAAGAAGAAACAGACAATCTGAATAAGACTGTATCTATTAAAAAAAGGAGTCAATAATTAATAATCTTCCAAAACAAAGCACTAGGCCCAGCAGAGTTCACTGGTGGATTCTACCAAATATTTCATAAACATATAAATTCTCTACAAAAAAAAGATAAAATTTTGAAGTAAGTTATAGATTCACGTTATTTCTCAAAAGAGTAATGATCAAATATGTATTTGCAGAAGTTGAATAGCATAGCATATACAACTGAAGTGAAAGCTTTTCTACCGATTCAAATTATTAAGGTGGAAAAAAGTATGATTTTGAAGCCCACTATCTCTCCTATGACTCAGTTTGTATGCTGTTTTCCCAACACCCTCCCTACAAGATTCAGATTAGCATTTACATGTATTTGAACATGTATGTGAAAAATTGCCCTAAGCTAAGAATCCTTGGGGAAAAGAAAGAAATCACACCATTTCTCTACAATCTCTTCCAGAAAACAGAAGCAAAGGGAGTCCTCCCTAACTCATTTTATGAGGCCAGCATTACCCTAATACCAAAACTAGACAAAGCCATTACAGGAAAGGAAAACTACAGACCAATTATCTCTCATGAACAGAGATGTAAAAATCCTCAACAAAATATTAGCAAATTGAATCCAACAATGTATAAAAAGACACCACAACCAAGTGGGATTTATTCTAGGTATGCAAGTATGCAACATCCAAAAATTAATTCATGTAATTCATCACATCAATAGGCTAAAGAAGAAAAATCATATGATCATGTCAATAGACACAGAAAAAGGATTTGACAAAATCCAACACCAATTCATGATAAAAACTATCAGCAAACTTGGAAAAGAGAGGAACTTCCTTAACCTAATAAAGAATATCTATTAAAAAAACTACAGGGGCCAGCCCCGTGGCCAAGAGGTTAAGTTCACGCACTCTGCTTAGGCAGCCCAGGGTTTTACTGGTTCGGATCCTGAGCATGGACATAGAACCACTCGTCAGGTCATGTAGAGGTGGCGTCCCACATGCCACAATTAGAAGGACCACAACTAGAATATACTATGTACTGGGGGGATTTGGGGAGAAAAAGCAGGAAAAAAAAAAAAGAAGATTGGCAACAGTTGTTAGCTCAGGTGCCAATATTTAAAAAAAAAAAAACTACAGCTAACATCATATTTAATGGTGAGAAACTAGATGCTTTCCCATTAAGATCAGTAACAAGTTCCCTCTCACCATTCCCATTCCACATTATACTGGAAGTCCTAGCTAATACATTAAGAAACGAAAATTAAAGGTATAAAGATTGGGAAGGAAGAAACAAAACTGTTTTTGTTCAGACAACATGACTGTCTACAGAAAATTCCAAAGAATCAATTTTAAAAAACCCTCCTGGAACTAATAAGTAATTATAGCAAGGTTTCAGGATACAAGGTTACTATACAAAAGTTAACTGCTTTCCTATATACCAGCAATGAACAATTGGAATTTGAAATAAAAAACACACCACCAATTACATTAGCACCACAAAAAAAGAAGTACTTAGGAATAAATCTAGTAGAGTATGCACAAGATCTATATGAGGAAAACTAAAAAACTGATGAAAGAAATTAAAGATGATCTAAATAAATG